TTCTTTTTCCACTTGCACAAAATCTGTTACATTGCTAAATTTTACTGTGTTCTGATGAAAGACTGTTGACCAGAAACAATATTTTTTTTTGTGCACAAATTCTGCTAGACATGCTTGGCATTTCCAGTATGTTTAGTTTTCTATAAAATGAGTTAGATCACTTTGCTATGAAACAATCCAGGTAGATAATGTACAGTCCTTGTTACTTGTTTGGGTTGTAAAGACATTTTCACTGCTTATGGTGCATCTATTCTTGCCACTAGACTAGGATTCCACAAGAGCTGGGTGTCCTTCATTCCCTCCCTTAAGTAGCTGTGCTCACATCTGAGCTATGATAACAAGCCTCAACTGGTGACTCACCCCTGGACGCATCACTGCAAACTATGCTGCTGTCCACCCACAAAGACAATGCCTGTGTACTTTCAGCAGTAGTTATTGGATCAACAGGGATGTGAATCACAACAAAATCTGGCTGGTAGCCTCCTGGGTGACTGTGGCCTTTAGTAGTAACTTCACTTCTGTGCATCAGCGATATGATGTGAATTACATTGGTACATAGGTACAGGAGTAGGCCATTCAGCTGCTCAATTCTGCTCCACTATTCAATAAGATCATGGCTGATTTGTGGCCTAACTCCATATGCCTGTCTTGGGCCCTTGATAGACTTGTTCATTTTGCTTTCAAGTCTACTGTGTGATGAAAGTTTAAATTACAGTCTGATTGTTTGTTTAAATATGTGCAAGTTGTATAAAACCTCTCCTTGCGACCAAAAAATAGGCCCGAAACGTCAGCCTTTCTGCTCCTATGATGCTGCTTGGCCTGCTGTGTTCATCCAGCTCTGCACCTTGTCTCAGACTCTCTTTGCAGTTCATCGGCTATGCAATAAATAAGCAAAAGGTCACGGATTCGAAGCCAGTCTTGCAGAATTGAGTAATTGTATGCTGGGAGGTTCCACTGTTAGTTTCTGTATCCTTGGGTTCAGTAGCGATAAGTTGTGATTTTTATCCCATTTTGATAACTGCCACTGGCTGTATATGTGTTGACTCTCAGGGCAGGAATAAGTGTATCTGTGATGCCTGTAGTTGAATAGGCTGATATTTGCTACTGAGGCACTGAGAAAAATGTGGTTATTTCAATATGGTGCTGAAGGGCACCCTCGGTCTGTGTAATCATAAGACTCCCAGAAGAAAGGAGGGAGGTGTGGAATTGAATACTTTAGATTTTTGCATTTTGCATTCAGACATAGGGCATGGTAGAAGAGCATAGCTGATGAGAAAGAGGGTGCCTCTATGTAAGGGGATATAATTATCCTATTTGGTAAATTTCACGATTGCTGTGTTTCTGACTTTTTTATTTGTGGATGTTAATTGCACATGATAAATATTCATTTGTATGTCAATGATTGAAAATAGCTGCGCTGTACGACAGCTACTCTAAGAGTAATGCAGCCACTTAGTCATAAATTTCCACTGTACAGTGTAATACAGTAAATTACAGTTTAACCAATTAGTTCATATGTTCAATTAAGCTTCCTTGTGCTATGCTCCCACAAAATTGATTCAAATATGGGATACCTCAATTGAGCAGTTTGTGATCCTTTTATAAATTATTCAAGCATTGCATACGTGGTTTAAAGTACAATGTAGAAGTGTTGCCCTGTAACGAATTGTGAACTATTGGCTACTCATAATTAAACACAGCCGACAGTTCGTTACCCGCTGGGTGAAAAGGTGATGAAGGATTGGGATGCAGAACATAAAGGCAAATTGCTTCATGTAACTTGTATAATTGCCAGGTTGTTTTCTGCTGGCAGCTGAAAGACACATAAGCCACGTAGTGAACACTTGGATGTGAGTTATCTGAAGGGCCCAGATGAATTTCACAATTTCTAAAGCACAAATTAGAGCTGTTTGTAGAGTTTTGCAACCTTGAAACTGAAACTGTTATTTGGTGTCTTATTTGGCACGTGTACAATTTGTTTTTCCTGTCAGGAGGGGAGGGAGAATGTATTTTTTTCATCCATTTTGATGTCAGTAGGGGTTAGCTTAAAGAGCTTGGACATCATGATCAGCAGAGAAGGGATTTCTACTCTTTGGTACTATTGATTATTTATCAAGATCTACAATTTTTGTTCCTGTGGTTTTGCTTATATATAATTATCGTTGGAGAGTTGCTGATGTGCGAATCATCTAATGTAGTGATATTTTTTTGCCCAGGTTAGGGCTAGATTCCAAATGGTCTCAGTTCATATTCTCACTCTGATTTATAGGTGGTCATTCTTTCTAAGCAAAGAGATTTTATGACATGGCTGAAATTTTAAAAATAATCCTGCCAGCTTGGTTCAATGAAGTTACTCTTACTCTTGTTACTGAGTCAGAGCACTGATTTTAGAGCTTTTTAAGGGAAAACCATGTTCAACTAGCGCAGGGGATTTTGAGGATAAAGCTGAAAAGGCTAATGTATGCTGGCGTTTGTATGCTCCTTTTTATCTATGTAACAAAGTAACATTCTCCAAAAACTCCGAACAAGTTTGTCAAACGTGATTTTCCTTTTTATGAATCCATGTTCAGTCTGTCCAATTTTGCCATTCATTTTGTATCCAGAAATCATATCCTTTTTTTGACAATGGATCCTCACAGTTTCTTAACTTCAGATGTCATGTTCTACTTGTGCTCTTCCTCTCTTACTCTCAAGTAGTGGAGTTACATTATGCTACTTTCCAATCTGCAGAAACCTTTCCAGAATCCTTCAGAATGACCGTATCAGGCTGTTGCTTGAGTGGTCTGTGGGATGATCTTCCACTTCTTGCACAAGCCCCCAGATATTATAGGGTTGGCAAACTGTTTGCTATGTTCGCTCCTGATACCTAGATCAATGCCAGGTGATCATTTCTGTTTTATTCCTTTTGAGTGGCTTGTTAGACCATTTGAAAGGGCTTTGCTGTGGGTCTGAAGTCATGCCAAGGCAGACCAGGTAAAGATGGCAAATTTATTTAAAGGAAGGTAGCGAACCAGGTTTTTAAATCTACGGTGGTTCCATGGTCACCAGAGACAATTGGCTGAATGGCTTCCTTCTGCACTCTCTCAATTCTACAATTCTACTTTTAAATATATATGGGTTCAAACAAACTGAGATGTAAGTCTTGGATGATGGTCCAGAGCAGTACTGAGGATGTGCTACATGCTGGGTAATAACATGCTTGGGTGGGATATTAAACTGTCTAGGTAAATGAGGGGATGCTTTTTCCAAACAAAACAGTTTTGTGTACTAGTCAGGATTTTATCCTTCAGTCTCACGAAAAGAGATTTACTTGTCGTTCACCTTCTTTTTTTTTTGTTCATTTGTCTTTTGTGAAGCCTTGCTGTCTGCAAACTGCCTGCCACGTTTACCTACAAAGTAATCACTACACTTCAAAAATAATTGGGAGCCATGAAAAGGAATGTCCCATTAAACAAAAACAGACATTCTTTCATTGTGTGCCTTTCATGATCGAAAAAGAACTTTTGAACCAGTAATCATTTTAGTACTTTGTTAAATGTCATCACTGTTATGATGTAGAAATTACAACAGCCAGTCTGCTTATGGTAATCTGTGCAATTTTTTTTTGGAAATGATGTCAATTTGGGGCTGAATATTTCCTAAGATTTACTCCCACGATTTCTAAAATAATGCCACAGGATTTTTCTGTTCACTGAGGGGAGCACGTCACAAAGACTGCACCTCCTCAGCATTGCAACATTCCTTCAGAACCATTGTGGATTTTAAGACTATTTTACAGCAGTCCAGCACTCCTGAAGTGGTAAGCACTCTGGTCCAGAATTGGGCATTTGCTGTACCTGATCAGCTGTTGCACCTTTTTTGTTTTAGGACATAGTTCGTTTTTGCCATGTAAAGAGTTGCCTCCTTGTTTCTGAGGTTACTCACGGTCAAATCCCTTAATGTTCTACTGAATTTGAGAAAGGGACATGACAGGTGGTGGGTTGGGAATGACAGCGAATAGTTGATATCGGGTTGGGGAATATGTATATTTTCAGCAGCTCATCTTTAAAGTTTTGGTAAAATCAGAATTTTAAATGAGAGCTCAGGTACCATATTAAATTTCAGATATGGGGATATTTCTTTTAGATTACAATTCCGGATCAGGCTGTTTATGTTCTTTCAATCTATCAGTACTCTAGCAGCCAATCACTGAAAGACCTCCAACTAGCAGTAGATTTAGATCTTTGGGACCTTGTGCTGTCAAGTTTATTTCTAGTGACATTATTTTTTTTTTAAACATTAGATAGCAAAGCCGGTAGCTTCAGAGATTAGCCAATCCATCACGGGATATCTTTTCTGAGCCCACGGCATTATTGTTCAACCAATTCACAGTTTCTGATGCTGTGTGAAATGAATATGTCAGGATTTATTTACAGCTTAAATATTAAACAAAGTGAAATGTACAATGCATTTTGTTTTACACATATAAGATCTATACAATCACTAAGCATTTAAAATTAAAATACATTATTCTTTTTTCGTATAATTGGGAGGCGGCAGTTAAGTGTGGAATTTGTTTGGGAAATAAGTCACCAATGCCTACATATGATCCTCCAATGATTTCCTTCCCATTGCAGTACCTCACTTGTAATTCTCCCCCAACCATATTATTTCATATGTACTTGTAAATTTAATATTTTTCCGGTTCAGACTATAAAATTCCAGGTTCTGGACAGAAATACCAAGGCCATGTTTAACTGTTCTCAGAAGAACAATGCATGGAAAATAATACTCTTAACAAAGAACAATTTGGTCTATAGATGCAATATTGCATAAAGCAGCCAGTCATCAAGGAGATGTCAAAACAGTTTTGTTTATGTAACCTCGACTCCTCCTTTTCCCAGGCATAGCTAATTGCTTTTAATTCCTGCATAAGTTTGTTCTTGTCCCTGAATATTTATTCTAGACAGAGTTATTGCTAATTCTTTTGATTCATGAGTTAAAGGTTTGAAATATCACAATAGGAGTAAGAGAAGACAATTCAACCCTTCGAACCTGCTCCTCCATTCAATTAAACCAGAGCCGATCATCTACCTCAATATGCAGGAAAGCGGCAATCTCCTGATGTTTTTCTCCATGGCAACTCCACGGCCAATCTGGGTCAACTTGCCAACTAGCCAACACCCCTTTTCTCCTATAGTATGAATTGTTGAGAATGCTAAGGTTGGTATTCTTGAGTTTGTCCTGATTATGCAAGTCAAAAATTTGATTTAACAAAACTCTTTTTAGCAATATTCAAGTGGCTGGAGTTCTAATTCTGTGGCCAAGCACTATCCAACAGTACAAGTTTTTAAAATGGCTTTTTTTTTTGTTTAAAACCTACTTCTGTGTTGCCAGTTCAAAGTGTTCCTGCAAATACTTGGTCAGCAAGTACTTTATTGTAGTGGATGGGACTGATTATTGTCCATTGACCCATTATTACACCTTTTATTTTTCTTCCATTGTTGTTGAAGTAGGTTGGGAGTTTGGTTTAGTGAACTCTTGATCAGTAGTCATCAATTGGACTAAACTGATGCAAAGAACATGCTTGCATAGAGGATGAATTATGGTGACCTTTCCCTTAGAGGTACAGATAGATTTTCCAGCATTTCAACCAATTGAGATGAGGCACTGGGAAGCCCTTTACTAATTTACCTTGTATATTGATGGAACAGGGTTGAGGTTCGTTCCTTCTCCCAAACCTGTTCTTCTCTCTACCTTTTTTTGTGGCAACAGCTGTGCTGGTCTGCTTGTCTATATATTTTCAATTTTGGGAAGTGGTTGAATTCTCAACTCTGAAATAAGTGGAACTCTTTGATTTTAAAATCTAAGAAATAAAAAATAGTCCTTAGTGTAGGTGAGGTTTAAATGACAGAAATTTCTTATACTTTTTGATAAGTCAATCTGCATGAAAGTGCTGCAGACATCTTAATGGGCACATTTTGAAGCAGTATTGATACAGATGTCCAGAAAAACTGGCTATTATATGACCTATCAATCCTTCCCATTGAGAGCTTTTTTTTCTATTTTCGATTTTTAATTTAGGAAATCCTACAAAAAGTCCAAGTGATTCAGCAGTAGCAATGTCCAGTGATGCAACATCATCTGCATTCAATTTCTCTTCAACTGTAATAGGAACTAGTAACTCTACAGCAACAGAAGCCAATAACAGGAACGACACTGTCCCTCAAGCTAACATTGGAAGTACTGTGGCTTCTACTATTTCTACACCAAGCCTGAAAAGTGAAACTAGCTTTAACAATTCATCAGAAAATTCAATTGTCAGCATGCTGACAGATGCACCAAATGTCAGTGACCTGACCCGAGTGAATGGGATGGCTGATAATACAAGCAGTGACCTACAAACAAGAAATGAAACAGAGATCCAGGTTAGCACACCTGTTGAAAGGCCTGCAAGTACCAGTAGTTCCATTACAAAATCTGTGAATCCCAGTGTTGGCTCCGTTGTAACTGAGTCAAATGGAAATGACACTGAAGTGAACCCTACTGTCAAAACAACTGCAATACCACACCAAACGGAGACCTCTGCGAAAATGTCTTCAGCTGCCAAAGACTCTACGCGGGAGGTCACAATTAAATCAACTAGTGTGTCTTCTATAACGTCTGCTGGACAGAAGGAAGCAAAAGGTAAAACTTCTCTCTCTTGTTCATTAAAGTAATTAAAAAAAACTACAATACAGGAAGTTGCTTTTATGCTGCTGTGGGTTTTTTTTCAGCCTGCAGGTCTTCACCCTCTGGCTAGAATTTCGATTAACCATTGTAGATGTGAAAACATTGTCAATCAATAATGAACATTGCACTTAAACTTTTGGACTATGTTTTATATCATAGTCACAGAGCACGGAAACAGACCCCTCAGTCCAAACAGTCCATGCTGATCATAATCCCAAACTAAACTAGTCCCACCTGGCTGCTCCTGGCCCATATCCCTTCAAACCTTTCCTACTCGTGTACTTATCCAAATGCCTTTTTAAAGGTTGTAACTGTACCCACATCCACCACTTCCTCAGGAAGTTCATTCCACATGCAAACTACTGTGTTTTTTAAAACAAAACCTTAGTGTCCCCGAGTCTCGAAATAATTTTGAAGAACATTTTGAGGAAATGGGGCAGTGAACATGCGATAAAGTACTGCTTTAGATTTCCAAAAGTGACATGCTATCACATGAAATATTTGATGTAGTAGTGATCTGTCTAAGGATGAATCCTTTGCTCATTCCTCAAGACTGTGTGCATGTCTGTTCAGTTCCAATTGGAGCCTCCCATTTTGCATTTCAATGTGAGGTAATCTAAGGGCTTTCATGTTGCTGTGCGTGTGTGCGTGCGCAAGTGAAAAACACCTCTTCCCAAATGATCCTCTGCCTGTGAGCTGCTATTGTCCTTCCAGTTTCTAGCTCTCCATTGTAAGAAAAGTGCTGAATCTGCTACTGGCTATGGCTTATAACCCTCAGCATGGGACCTGGAGGGACTCTCAAAAGGACAGCACCAACCATCCCTTGGGGTCTGTAATGGCCCTGCTACACCTGTATTGAATATCGTGTGACAATATTATGGCTTTAAGAGGTGTATTTTGTCCTGGTGTTTATTATGAAGAAAGGTTGAGACCGAGGAGAAGAGTAGTTTGCACAAAGCCAATAAAGCAAACAGCTTGTGAGGCATTGGGGATTTCTAAGTTGGAACAATGGAAGCAGCCTGAATGAGTGAGGTCAAGCTCTCACAGAAACAGGAATTTTTTTTTTTTAGTTGCAGTCGTTAGTAGCAGTTGCTGGGTTCTTGAACCTGGATGCAGAAGCTCTTATTCCTCTCTTTGTTACAGCTAAAAGCTGGGTTTCAATTGCTAGAGTTGTGAGACAGTCACTTTTACTGAATTTGCCTTTGCCAAGGGTGTGTTTATGGGATATTACTATATTGAAACAGTTACTTGGTAGTGATTAATAATAATTATTTTAAGGATTTTAATTGTTATAGTTAAGCCAATTGTCTCTTTAATTTGTCTGTATTTTAATTGTAGAGTAAAAATAGTGTGCTTTGCTCAAAGTAGAGTAGTTTGACCAATTGAATTGTATCTGGAACGCAACACCTCACACTTGCCTTTTAAAATAAGAAAAAGTTGGAGTTTAGGCTATCTTCTGTATATATTTTGAGGGGATTTGGTCTGGTTCATAACAATTGACTGTGTAAAATATACAAATCATAAATAGCAGAGCCGTAAGGAGTTATTTTCCACTGTTTCTCCCCCAACCCAGCTCCCCTAGCTGAGAAAAAAGGCCAAGGTCATTTGTCTAATATAGAATCTTGGAACCTGACCTCTTCCTCTCACTTGGGCAGCTTGAGGTTAACACGGTTGTCACCTTTTTTTTTTGAAAAGATTCAATAAAATTGTTGGATTTAGCTGAGAGATGGCAAGAACTGCAGATGCTGGAATCGGAGACAACACGGTGTTGAGCTGGAGGAACGGAGCAGGAAAGTTGATGTTTCGGGTCGGGACCCTTTCTTCAGGGTTGCCTGGTCTGCTGTATTCCTCCAGCTCCACAGTCTTGTCTTGGATTTAGCTCGTTCTATTTTTGAGATGGGATAGATGGGTGTGCTGCTCTGTAGCATTGACCATTTGAAAACTTGAGTTCTGTGCACATTTTTGAATTTTTAGTTGAGATGTAATTCTTTAACCAGCAGTATTACTCCTGAGCTCAGTTTTCTATCTCAGTGGCTTTGTGTATGAGCCTGAGCTTTAGATCACAATTCAAGTGAAAGCCTTTGACCTGAAATAATCACTTGGCTCTGTCTCCATAGGTACTACCCGACTTGCTGAGTATTTCCAATGGTTTTTTTCTGTTTCTGTTTTTAAGAGTCAAATCATTAACTGCTTAGTTATAGGTTCATGTCACTGTAGGTTCTGTATTGTTGTCTAGGAATAATTGGTGACATCATACTAATGAATTTAAAGACAGAGCTTGGGCAGTTTCTAAGGATCCTGTGAATTATAATGCCAATAGTGGGAGGCTGAAGTGATCTTTTTGAGATGCTCTGAGAGAACTTCCCAAAATTGAATCCTGATAATCTGTGTCTTGGTGCAGAGGCTTACATACCCCCATGAGTGGGATTGCAATCAGGCAAGAGTTCCTCAGCTGACCTTCGGCCAGTCTTGACCTATCAGCGAAATTATTTTTTTAAAAAATTACGTTATGTGGGGGAGGCAAGGTCTGGAGCATCCCACCTGCGGTCACCCCATTAAGCCGGGTTGTAGTCTCATTGTGGGCCCACGATTATGATTGAAGCTGGCAAGAGGAATTCAAGGTTCACAAGCTCACCACTGCCATTCCACTCCCAATCTGCTCCTACAGATTCCTTTCCAAACAACCCCCTGCCCACGTCTCTATCAGTCTTCCTCTTTTGTTTTCAAACCCCCTGCCCCCACCTCCAAATCCACTCCCTCTCCCCAATCCTCAGGATGCCCTCCTTCCCCTACTTGAGATTCCCTGCTACACTTGTCTGCACTCAGGAATGTAGAATCACCCCAGGCTGCTACTGCTGCTCAGACTGACAGGACTCCTGCCTGAGGTGAGGACAATACAATTAATGTTCCTCAAAGCGTTAATTGATTGTGAGGCTGCTGTGGTTGATGGGAATATATTCTATGCCAACATCTTGGATGGTAAGGTGTGAAACCCCACCATGGGGTTACTCCGGTTTCCTCTCACAGTCCAGAGATGTGCAGGTTAGGTGGATTGGCTGTGCTAAATTACCCATAGTGTTTCGGGGTGCCGAGATTAGGTGGGATGCTCTGAGGTTTGGTGTGCCCTGGAAGCGTTTATGATTTGTTTTGTATTGAGGCAAAGTATTTTCAACTAATTAATTTCAGTGATTATGTACCTCGCACTGTAGTTGACAATGGTTATCTATAAACAAACCCAACAGTTTTTGAACTACCAAGCACATTGTGTTATTGCAGTGGTTTTTCAAGTCTGAGCGGAGAGAGGAGTGAAATTGCTCCTCTTGCGTTAACTATGTCTTTGGGATTGCTGAATAACATTCATCTAAGTGAACACCTCGTTTCGTTTTTAGATACAACCAGTAATGTGCCAACCACACAATCCCCAAAGTCTACAACTCTGCCAATGCGACCAACTTCCAAGACTATGTCCGCTTCCATGACATCCAGTGGCTCTGGAGTGATATCCACTGTGATGGTATCCCTGTCCACCAGCCACACAAGACCCACCACCACAACCACCACCAGCACCGTGAGCGTAACTGCCATAAGAAGCACCACAACCAACAAAGCAACCACTTCGTTTTCTGTGCAGCATGTTGAAGGGAATTTGGCCAATACCAAAAAGATGGTGGATGGTGAGTGATTTTTTGAGGTTTACTTATCTCCAGTGAGGAGACCTGCTTGGAGTTTAAACACCAGAAGAGAAGAGTTGCACTTAATTACTTGTTTGTACTGTGTATTTAATGTAGTGTCTGTTTTGTCATGTTTCTGCATTTTGCTGATCATTTCTTATAGTTTGTGGAAATGTGATTTATCGAAAAGGATACTTTTATGGATGTTGTGCATCGCTTTGCTTGGTGTCACTTAAAATATACAATCTAGTATGTTATGATCCTAGCTGATGTTATTACTGGACAAGTCGGATCCCAGATTTAAACCTTATCGAAATATGATCCATTAGGCCAGTCTCTTGCTGAAACATAAGCATGCAATGCTGCAGGTTTTGCTGTTGCAATAAACTAGTGTCCTTGTTAAGGATATGAAAGAGTACATAAACCAAACTATTTTGAACACCAGTTCAAAGATGTTTGAAATATGCAGTAAAATTTATAATCAAATCCCAAAACGTGCCCTTTTTAAAATTGCCTAAAAATGTCACTCATCTAGTACTAGCACCAGAGCCTCTGACTCTAACACCTCACATGTGACATTAACATACAGAGTGGAACTGCAGATAGCTTCTCCCTGGAGCTATTATACACCCAAACATCAACATACTTGGCTTTAAGTAACATCATCTTCAGGGTTTTATCCCAACACTTCTGATCTGTGACTAACACTAACTCTTCACTGTAATGTGAACTAATTCTCAATACCTTTTTCCTTTTTGCAGACCACTGGTCTTTGCAGCTACTCTATTGCAAGGACCAGAACTGACCAAAATGCAAAGTAAAACTGAAACTAGAATTCTCCCCCTCTAAGCTATGAATGTTTACTTTCAGTTTAAAAATTCCAGAGAACTCTTAACAAGTCTTGAGGCCCCATTAATTACCTTGTGGAGTCACAAAACAATCTAAGTAAACAAAAATCCATCAGTGGTGCATATAAACTCATTAATTCTAAAATGATTTCAAAAGCTGTTTTAAAAGAAATCACCATGGCTGCAGAAATACTTGCAAGTTAATTATTAACTTCAGACATACAGAAAACTTGGATGACATTAATTCAGAACAAAAACTCAAATTTACAGCAAATGATATGATGCAAACATTTTTTTAAATAAATGAAATGATTGATTTTCGGGTTTCATAACTGAATCCTGAAAAGGTGAATTTTTCTACCAAAAATATATATCCTTTAGGAAAGGGTTAAGATACCTGTATTTCTGAGATTATTCTTTTCCATGTAATGGATATGGGATTGGTCGAGGTGAGGACTGTGCAACCCACCGTTGTTTCTGGATCATTTAAAAGAAGGTATGAAACGATAAAAGGAATTTGGGCCAGTTAATTATAAATTCATAAATTACACTGTTTGGAATCAAAATTCATTGTAGCTGCCTGTTGGAACTTGATGACTTTGAAGAAGACCGAACCACTGTGGGAAAATGTAGTGAGGCTTTTGATAATCAGGCAAACCTTTTGTAACCTATTTCACCTGAACTAGTGCTAGACCACAGGTGATCACCCTCTGCCTTTATTGGATGGCCAAGCAGCCTGGATGATCCTATTCCAAATGTATGGGCTGCAGACACCCAATATGGGCTTTTTAGGCCAACAGACCAATTTCTATATTTGCATTCTGTGATCTCATTTCTTTATTTTAATTGAGGTTTTGAGAATAATAACCCTTCCAAATGTTTGGAGTTGCTGCATGTTCTTTGCTAAAGTGAAGTTAGTTTGGGGAAAGACATGGGTAACTGCGTGAAAAAGTCTTCTGGAATACTCTTGGGGAACTTTCACACCATTGGTAATTCTGTTAAATGTGTCAAAGTGTGAATGTTTGTTTGTTACAATAAATTTGTGATTGACCAAGTTGAAGTAGGATAGAAATAAAAACTTGTTAGAAGACAATATACCAATAAAAGTGTACTTCTCTTTTGAACAGGGAGGCCAGTTTCTGATCCAAATGAAACCAGAATGGACCCTCTTGTTATAGGACTGATCACAGTTTTCTTTATAATTATTGGAATTGTTTCAATACTTGGGTTTCTGAAGTACCGTCAGAGAAACAACCAGCCAGAATTCCGGCGTCTTCATGAGCTCCCAATGGTAGGAATAAGTTTGAAAGATATTGTCCTGCTATTTTAGCTCCTGTTTCCTGGATCCTAAAATTTTATTTTTAAGATGGTGAAACCTTTTTAATATCAATTTTAAACTCCCTGAAGAGTTCTTTTTTTATTTATAATGCTATTTACTTATTTTCGTTGATTTGTTATATTTATTGTTGTAATCATATGGCAGTGTTATTGAAATGTTTTCTGTGGCATTGTACTGATCATTTGATCAGATTATTTTGAAGCTGGTTCCGTTTGTGTTGGGAATGAATTATTTTCTGGTTCTGTGGATTACTGTTCAGGTTATCCAAAATGATTAATTTATGAGTGAACCTGAAAACCACACTTGAGATCCATAGAAAGGTACAACACAGATGCCATTCAGCCCATTATGTCTGTGCCAGCTAGCCACTTATTCCAATCCCACCTTTTAGCATCTCGTCCATAGTTTTGCAGATTACAGTGCTTCAGATCAAGATTCCTCAAATGATTTGGGAGCTTCCACCTCAAACCACCAAATTGGGTAGAGATTCCAATACAGCCACCATTATTTGGCTGAAAAATACATTTTCTCATGACCCCTTTAATTCTGTCATTTTACCTTTTTTAAGTCTGTGTCCTCTTAATTTGACCTCTCCACTAGGAGAAATGAGTCTTCCCTCTCCAGTTTTACCAAGTCCCTGAGTATTTTATATACTTCCAATTTTTAAGTCACTTCTCAACCTTCTTTGTTTTCCACAAAACAATCTAGTCTATCCAACCTTGCCTTATGGTTGCAATTTTCAAGACCTTGCTACATTGTCATTATTCTCCTCTGTATTCTCTCTCCAGAGCAATTATGTCCTTCCCGTAATGTGTTCACTGGATCTATACACACAGATCTAGCTATGATCTAGTCAGTGTCTTTTATAGACCCAGCATTACATCCCTGCTTTTTTTATTCCATTCCTGTCCCAATAAAGGAAGCCTTTTACCACTTTATCTCCCTGCCCTGTACTTTTCAAGGACCTTTGGCCATGCATACCATAGTCTCTCATTTCCTCTATCTCTCTCAATGCCCTCTTGTCTATAGTGTGTTCTCTTACTTTATTTGCTCTTCCCAAATGCATAACCTTGCACTTCTCCAGATTTGAATTCTATTTGCCACTTTGGTATCTCTGGTGCCTGACTTGTATCTGGTGAGGATTGGAAAACAATCCCAGGAACTCTCACTATTTCCTCCCTAGTTTCCTTTTTTAACTGCATAGGCTACAATTCCTCCAGTCTGAGTGATAATCTACCTTTAAGGAGATGCTTCCTGTCTTGTGGTTGTTTTATTTAATATTTCATACTCCTCTTTCACTGAAATGTCTGCGTCATCTCTCTCATTTTGAGGGCAGACAAAATACTCATTTACAGCCCTGCCTAAGTGGTTCTGCATTCATGTGTGAGTCACCATCGACGTCTCCAGTAGCCTTAGTCATCCTCTTGCTGTTAATGTACTGATGAAGCATCTTTTGGATTTTTGTTGAGATTACTAGCCAATATTATTTTACATGCTCTCTTTTTGCTTATTTCCTTTTTAATTTCACCCCTTTATCTCAATACTCCTTGATTCTTCTTCAAGTGTTACTTTTTATTTTTAAGACTGTCATGAGATCTCTCTTTCTGCTTTATCTTGCATTGTGTGCTACTGGTTAACCAGGCAGGGGGTCTAGATTGGCAGTGACCTCTTCTTTTTATCCCCTTTATGAGGCCATGTCTACACCGCCTGTAGAATCCTTGCTTTTACATACCACCTCCTGATTTTACCAAGATTTTTTTCTTCAGGTAGCCCTATCCAGACCACTTCTGCCAGATGATCTCTCAGCTTTCTAAAGTTTGACTTACCCAAGTTTAAACTTTTACTCCTGTTCTATTTGTGACCATTCCTCAATGCTAAATTTTAACTGTTAACTAAGTAGAAGCCAACGGAATTGAGGGAAAATTACTGACATGGGTGTGAAAGTGGTTGAGTATTATGCAACAGAAAGTAGGTATAATGGGCAGGTACTTAATTTGGCAGAATGTAACCAGGGACATCCCGCAAGGATCTGTTATGGCCTGAAAAATTTGATAACAGTATAGAAAGTCATTTTATCCAAACCTGCTGATGACACCAAGGCAGCATTGTAGTCAGTGTAGATGATAGTCTATCAATATCCTCTTTTAATTTTACACTGTGAATGGACAAAACTGTGGCAGATCGAGTTCAAAGTAAGCAAATGTGATGTTGTCCATTTTGGACCAGAAAGGATAGATTAGGGTACTTTCTAGATGGTATGAAGTTAAACACAGTGGATGTCCAAAGAGTTGGTAGTTCAGGTGCATAGATTTTCTGCAAATGTGCATGGATTTTAAAAATCATCAGGGAGGCTAATGGGATGCTGATCTTTATATGTAGAGTACTAGAGTAGAAGGATGCAGAAGTTATGCTGTAGTTATAACAGACCCTTGTTAGACCCCACTTTTGAGTACTGTGAGCAGATCTGGGCGCCACAAACTAGGAAGGATATATTGGCCTTGGAGGGAGTACAATGTAGGTTTACAAGAATGACTCTTAGGGTTAAATTTATGAGCGATTATACAGATTAGGTTTGTTTTCTCTTGAATGCAGTTCAATAATATTGTGCTCTTGGCACCTATTATTGTGCTAGTATTTTACATTGTTTTATTAGTAGAATAGGGAGGCAGCAGTAGATTTGGACATATTGATTTTATTACACGGGATTACACAGAATGGAGCATGAGCCGCTCTGGTCTTTGCCAGCTTTTATGCTCCACCCAAGCCTTCTCCCATTTTTCCTCATCTAAATCTGTTTTTGTAAACCTGTCTTCCCTGCATCTGCATTTACTGATCTTGCCTTCCCTTTTTAATCATATCTATACTTTTCACTTCAATGTGTCTCATTGTTGTTTTGCATCTTTGGTTGTCAATTTTGTTACCCATTTTCCCAAGTTCTATTTATCAACATTACCTCAATTTAACCTTTCCTCTAATCTATTAACCTAGTTCTATCGTTCTTATCAAAAAAACTGCAGATGCTGGAAATCAAAGCAGAAATTACTGGAAAAACTCAGCCAGTCTAGCAGTGTCTGTGGAGTGACCCTTCTTCAGAATCCCTTTGGGTCACTGCATTGCTGTTTTCATCTTCCTAAGATCTGTTTCCTTTTTATTCTGTCAACCATGAACCACGTTGAGGATGATGCACATATTGTCCTTTTAGCTGATATCAAACGAACAAATGTCCTAACTAAAACCTGTGTTGTCTATAGCTGCCCTCTTTTGCAGAGAGGTGTAGGGGAAGCTGAGATTTTGTGTTGGTGTTACAGTGCATTCCAGTGATTTTGCTACACTTTGTGCCAGTAAACTCTCCAGATGGGTTAGTTGCCAACTCTATGCTGGAGAGTTAATGGTCATGGCAGAGAGCAAATCGGAAGATAACTGTGCCAGTGCAAATTATTGCCTTTTGTGAATTTTTTTTTTTAATGGTGTCAGGATTTGGGTGGGGAGGGAAAGGTGGTGAGTGGGGTCTCATAAATTTCTAAAATAATCTTTGCTTCAATTACCAGGATGACATGATGGAAGAGGATACTCCTTTGTCTCTCTACAGCTACTAGAAGTCGCTGCAGCCAAAAAACTCATCAACTTGCACAACATTGCAACTACTGTGTTTTGAAGTATTGTTAGCTGGCATGCTAAGGACTTTGTTTTTACAGTTTTTCTTTTATGTGAGCCAAATTTGCATCTAAATGCGTCTTTTGAGTTTTTGTTTTTTTTTGAAACCCCATTTGGGGAACTGCTAGGATTGAACGTGGATCAAAATTCAGCTTTATTCCTTGCCCAAAATATTTCCCTTCTGTCCACGGAGCTTTTAACTACACCTGTTTATTCAATCAAACTTGTAAGTTTGCAACTTTTTTAAACAATTAGGAGGCCAATGAAGATGATCTTTCCTGTATGTCTAAACTTGTAGTGGAAATTGCAGTTGTCCAATCAGGTGCCAAAGGAACGAGGAGCTAGTATTTGCATTAACAAATATCAGAAGGTCTTGAACATCTACGACAAATGGTTTGGGTCTGTTCCAGTCAACATAATGTATCATATTATGAAATTGTACTTTAGAGGTAGCACATTTGGGTTGATTTGAACTCTTATTTCTACCGATATCTTTCTATTGTTTGCACTCAATGCTGACATGTTTTTGATGGATCAGGATGTATTGATATTCTAGTCAACTACTTGGAGGGAATAAAACTGGTTCAACTTTTATTACTTGAATTAAATATTTAAATTGGAATGATTGAAAGGTATTGATCTAATTTCAAACGTTTTGGAAGGAAATGTAGTCCTTCTCCCAGCCTTCCCAATAACGTAGGGAGTTCCATTGCACCATTATAGATCAAATTGCACCACTATAAAAGGAAATGAAATGTGGAAATTAAAGGTGTGATATGAATCAAAGGCATGACTTGTAGTTCAAAGCCAATGTTCTCTTGGATACTGGCGTTTCCTCCTTTTTAATCTAGATCAATTCTTGTACCATTGTAATGCCTCTGGTTCAATCCTCTTGATTCTGATTAAATCCTTGTCCATGTCTAGCAAAGCGCACAGTTTCAATTACATTCTTATAAGTAGCCAAATCAAATATTTTGGTGAGAGTTAAAGCTAAAGTAAGAGATTTTGTCTTGGCTGCAAATTCCACATATACTTTGAGAGTTTAGGGGATGTTACATGAGTTGCAGTGATTCTTAGAACTGTTATTGGGGTGTCACCCTAGTAAAACTTTATTTGTTTTGGAAGCTAGATTTAAAAACAAATTGATGCAGTTTGATTCGGATGCCCGTTGTCATAATTGATCTAGCTGGAAAATTACATGCATGGCAGAAGGCTTAGCTGGTCCCTGGATGTGATTTGAGATTGATCAGTTTTAAACATAAACAGAAAGAGTGCACTTTGACTCTCCAATTTGATATTCACTTTTTTTCTTTCCTTATTATCATCATCATCTACCTTTTTATTTATAAATTTCTGCAAAGTTGTGATGTCCAACCCTCCCGAACCTGGGATTATGGGTACTTTTTGGTTCCAGCCTTTTCAGTAAAACGTTGCCTAGTTCAATGTTAAATAGCCAGGATTCGGTTCTAGGCTGAGGCAGTTATAGACTAGTTTATTGTAGATTTATTATTTTCTGGTATAGATGTCACTTCCTTCATTTGCCTAATAGTTACATAACAGGTACATGAGAGTTTCACATTCTTGGTAATGTAGAACTGCTTGTCATGGAGATGGATCACATGTTTTGATTTTCAATCTTGCATTTCACTTTTATTGCCATAATTTCTTTATTTAGGATCAAACCTAAAAAGAATTACCACCATGAGCTTCATTCAACATCTTTCTACCTTTATTGATTATGCTTTTTATAATTACTCATTTCCACAGGAATGTAAATTACAAATATTATATACAGGCAGTTCTAAAGAACCTCCTAAGCCTGCTTCACCATTCTGAGATCTATGTGGACTTGTGTAAATGGGAGATAAAAATTACTTGCTTCCTAACTTTGTTCTTAAGTGACCTTGGTCAAATTTTAATGCGATACATCCTTTGTTGAGTATTTTTCTCAACTGAGATTCTCGGTGTATACCGTATCATCTTCAACTATACCGGAAGTCTCTCCACAACTGAAGCATCACTTCCCCTTTTGTATTCCAAACCCCTTGTTATTAAAGATCAATATTCCATTTGCCCTTTTGTTACCTGTCTACACAAACTTCCAAACTCCACTGCACTTTTTGCAGCTTTCATTAGAGTTAGTGAGAGTAGTTTTTTCAACTACTTTTTGGCCAATTGCAATCATAAGTGAAGGATGGTGAGTAGGTTTTCTGTTTTTTGGGGGAGAAAAGTACGTGCCATGTATAGGGCTGTTGCGTATGTTTGCTCTGGACTGAATTGTTACTTGTAGTAAGGCTGAGAAACATGCTGACTGCAGTTTATTGCTGGATGATTTGAGATTTAAACAAGCTAGCCACAAAAGCTTTGTGGTGTTGGTTATTTTGTACTATAGGTTCCTTTTTCCTTGTGTACAGGTCACGCTGTTGATTTCTTTTGAAATTAGACTGGGTAAAATATTAAATGGGCAAAATGGCTGGAAATTTCCGATAAACACACTTTTCATTTATCCAGTCATTCCTTCAAATCAAATGCAATAAATCTGGGCCTAACCAATAGCTGTGGAAAATTCCTATTAACTTGCATATGATGTGTTTATGCAATGAGTGATCCGGAAAGATGCTGAACACGTGCCCCCTGTTGGTTTCAGCTATCAGGTGGAAACAAAGGAATAAAAAAGTGAAATTGATATGTGTTCAAGGTTCTTTTTAATCCTCCCATTTTTAAATAAAGACTCGATTCCCTAAAAACTGATTAATCTACCACTATTTCAGGTTTGTTTGCGACATTCTTTACCTCTCTTTAATAAACAAATACTATTTTTCTTCTTGAAGATTGAGTCAAGGGCAGAAGAGATGAGATACTGTCTGTTTCTAATCTCTCTCCCTCTTTTTTTTTCCCTCGCTCCCACTGATCCCAAATCATTGATTAGGCCAAGCTTTAAATCACATGTTAGCAAAATTGATTTCATTCCTTTTTAATGTTGTTGAAAATATTTACTTCAGCATATCTTTTATCTTAACTGTCCATAAAGTAACAATTTTAGTTGGATACAACAATCTAGCTGCTTAAATTTTTCATATGTTTCTGTCTCTTGTTCCCAAACTTTCCAAATAGTTGACTGCAAACCCACTAGGGATCACAAGGAAATGTGCTAAAGCAGAAGTTGCTAAAATTATCAAGGTTGTAGATATGGAGGAAGGAGCTTGATATAAATAACTGTTTGAGTGACTGCAATACCCCCATAATTTGAAGTTATAATGCAAAATCTGTAAGAGTTTAAATCAATACCTGTTCTGAATTTTTAAATACTCTTTGAGGTCATATCGAGAGTACTGTTGTGTCCATTATTAAGAGACTTTTCTAGTTTAGAACCATTACACTACAGGACAAGGTTGATCCTTACTAAGCTTTTGAGGAATGACCAATGCCCTAAGGATTTTCAACTTCCCCAGTTGTGAAAACGCCAGATCCTTTTAATGGTGGGGTAAACATTTGTGTAAATAAGAGATCAAGTAGTTTCTGCCAAAATCATCATCTGATTCTGTCATTCTTTTTGCATTTTGTTCCAGGTTTCAATGTTTCTTTTCAATTTTTTTGCATTTTAATGTTTTTAATCAGTTAGATGTTTTACTATTGACATTCCACAGATTCTAAAAAGAATTTTTTTGAATCACAGATGGAACTTTGTTTCTACATGACTCTTTTCTTTAAGAAAAGCTCCCTTGATCTGATTTCTGAAAAGACTGAGTGTTATGTCATTGGACAGCTTCCTGTGCCTTTTTGATTCAGTTGTTGTAAAGTACAATGGACTTCCAATTAGCTTAACAACTCCAATGTCACTAATTTAAATTGAGATACTGAATAACTGATGGGTATGCTTCCAGCTGATCCTTTGATATCAATTATACAGCATGCTACTATTGACCTGTGAATGTTTCAACAGATACATTGAGTGCTGAAACAAAATAATCATGAAATGATCAGTTCAAATGGCAGAACAAATTTAAGTTGGAAATTCACTACAACTTTAACAAAATTTCAGCACATCTTTCTTTCGACATTGTGCTGTTTCATGGTTCTGTTTTAATGTATTTGAGCAGTTTGGTTCACCCATGTTGTCCATGTTCCTTTTAATTTTCTCTTCTGCACAAGTCACTTGGTGTAAAATTCCTAGAGTTAAAAAGATTAATCATTTGTATGTTTTGGGTTTCTCTTGGCATATTTGTAAGTGGAGGGAGATTTTGATATTTAGTTAGTTCCATAATGTTCATTCAAAATGATGGTGGTTCTCCCCAAATATTCTGAAATTCTTTTCAGATTTAGTTTTTCTTGGAAAATATTGCATTGTCTAGTGTTTTTCAGATAGCAAGTACAATCCTAAATAAACATGAAATTTTCAGGTGTGCTGTTTGCATCAAAGTACAGTCTTCAATGGCAGTCCTGACTTTAGCAAAGCTGTAAGTTTAAATGATGTGCTGCTGGTTCTGGAAGTACTGAAATCCTTTGAAAGTGAGATTTGTCTCCATCTTTAGATGCAGCTTCCATTTAGTCAGCAGACTTGAGTATTTGGTCAGTGCCTGTAAGGAACATGCAACCTTCTTGTGGCTAACTACTTTCTCCTAGGTTTGGTCATCAGAAATAAAATTGCATCATACATGTGCAAAAATGCAAGTAGTTTCAAAGTTATTGTACTGTGATACGAGGTTTGTGTCATAAGTAGTTTATTGCAGAAGCAAAAACAAATTGCTGGAAAAGCTCAGCAGGTCAGGCAGCATCTGTGGAGAGAAATCGGTTCATGTTTCAGGTCAGGTCACCCTTTTAGAGCTTGTGGTAAAACTTGCTTTCTAATAAATTTTGCAATCAAAGAAGCCCAAGTTACAAAGGTGTCTGTTTAACAATGGTGCGAATTACCACACCTGATGCAGAGGGAGACTTAGTGAAGCAACCTGTAAGCTAGCATTTAATAAACCTTTTTAGCTGGATTAGTTGTCAGGTGGATTGCTCCTATATTAAGGATGAAAGCCATTATTATTACTTTTTGTCTTGTGTGCAAATGCTGTGCCAGTTATATATTTTTGAAATGTCTCATTTTTAATGTGGTACCTGTAAATTTAAAGACTATGATCATTTTCTGTCTTAACATGCAATGACTAAAGGTATTTGTGTGGCCGAGATATTTGCATTTTTTAAAAATTCTGTTTAGCTATTAGTAAAACTACAGAATCAGGAACGCTATGAGTGGAATTCCAAAAATTAGAACCTGTAGTATTGAGACATCAAACTCACTGGTAGCCTTAGTTACATTTCTATTCTTTCCTTCCTAGCCTATGAATACGATTATTAGCCTGCTGGTACTGCCGATTTGTCATTCTTAGTGCAAAAGTTTTCAGAGACAAAGAGTTACTTCTTTTCAGGTCAGGTTTTGTTTAGAAGGTTAATTATTTTACAGTCCTTTCTGTGATTTGCATTTTATGGAATAAAACACATTTGTGAACTCTGAGGAGGTGCCTAGTTTGCACTATTTGATTTTTTTTTTCAAGAAAACAAAGCTGTGCGGAAGAATTTTGTGCAAACATTAGTGTAATGTTAATTTCCTATGGAATGTATGTTCTTGACAGGAAGCAGGAAATGGAGTGTTCAGATTGAAAGAAGTTAATTTTATACAATTGCCTTGTGTTTTTGTTTTATTAAAAATTGGTTTTCTGTTCACGTTGTTCGTTCATTCATTCATAAAATTATACAGTTGGTGAAGAGTGCTTAGCAAATTATCCTACATCTTTGGCATCTGGACATGAACAAATAAGATTAATCATTTTTTTTCTGCCTGGTTTTGAGTCTCGAATAAACTTGCTAAAAGGGATAACTCAAAAGAATAAAATTGGTAGCACGAGCACAGAATTCTTCTTACTGAACAATTTCACTGCTCTGTGTTTGTTATTGTAATCTACCTGTTCAGACTTGTTATGACACACCTCCAGGATAGCGTGGACATCAGCCACTACGGATGAGAGCCCTTAGTTGTTATTTTAAACTCTCTAAATTAAGTGAGCTGCTTTTAATTGTGATAAGCCACTTTCTATATAGTCCAATAACAAACTAATGAAGAGACTGACATATTAAGCCAAAATGCCACAACTAGTTCACTGCTGGATTCTTAATTGAAAATGTAGGGTACATTTAAAGCAGCTGCCGGTGCAATGCTCAAATATTTATTTTGGTAATCTGAGCTAAAATTTGAACCCAAGTTCACGTTTGATGTTGAATGGTTGCCAAAAGCGAGAAGGTATAGGTGGCTCAAGGGTTAGCACTACTGCATCACAGCACCATGGACCCGGGTTTGATTCCAGCCTTGGGCAACTGTCTGTGCCGAGCTTGTGCAATCTCCCCGTGTCTGCGCGGGTTTCCTCCGGGTTCACCGGTTTCCTACCACAGTCCAAAGATGTGCAGGATAGGTGGATTGACTATGCTAAATTGCCCATAGTGCCCAGGGATGTTTAGGTTAGGGGGGTTAGACATGGGAAATATAGGGTTAGGGGAATGGGTCTGGGTGGGATGCTCTTCGGAGGGGCGGTGTGCACTTGTTGGGCCAAATGGCCTGTTTCCATACTGCAAGGATTCTATGATTCAGTTTCCTAGCAACTTTGGCAACAGCAAACACTTACTTGATTCTTCTGAAGTTTGTCTCTAAAACGTACAATTGTGCATATTAATGTAAATGTGCCAGTGAGCTTTGCAAGTTTAAATTATTGTTCTGATATAGAATTAGCTGCCTGCGAGATGACCTTTTTTGATCACCTTTGTTGGCTAGCTTCATCACATGACCAGTTTTCTTTAACTTGTTCTACGTTATTTCAAAGGAAGTGAGCATTGCTGGTAAGGACAGCATTTATTGTCCATCCTTAGTTGCCCTGGAGATATGACGGTGAGCCACATTCACCTTTTGAATTTCTGCAATCCAGGAGGTACGGCCAGTGCTATTGGAATGGGAGTTCAATGTTTTTGTTTTTCCACTGTGACAGGGTCAATGTCATTCCAAGTCAATGGCTTGGAGAGGAACTTGCAGATGGTGGTGTTCCCACATACTTGCTGCCCTTGTCCTTTTATAGATGGTTGCGATTATAGGTTTGGAAGTTGCTGTCAGAAGAGCCTTGGTGAATTACTGCAGTATGTTTTGTATATGGTGTACACGACCAGTAGCAGATATTCATCAGTCATGTTTGTAATCTTCAGTTCTGGTAAAGGTTTATAATTAACAAAGTTTGTTTAATTAGCTTGTATTTATAATGGCCCTGATCCCTTTTCTTCTCATTCAGTTCTCATCTTCTCCCCACAGTTTAGAAATCCAGATGATTGCAGTGCAAAAACAGGCCACTTCACCCTCCTGTAAGGATCTAATTACTAAAGCTATCAAAATATTGTGACAACAATGATTCCTCCCTATAACCCTGCATCAGTTTTAATCCACTTTTCACTTTAAACATATGCAGCAATGTCTCCCTGAACTATTCCTTGTGGTAAACATCTTATGTTTAATAACTAAAGCATTCCTCATCAGATTTCATGTTCTCTTTATTATAGGACCTCATTTAATTCAGAACAGTAAATTCTCCCTTGTTCATCCTACTGGAATTTTTAAAACTTAAAAATATTGCTGAATACCCCTTTTATCTGCTTTTAATGTCAGAGTGTACCAGGTCTTTCTAGTTTCTCCTTGCGTATCAAATAACATCATTTACACTATTGCTTTCATCTTCTTTCCAATGATATGCCTATCCATTGTTCCACAAATTGGGGGAAATGTCTCAACTGTTATTATCCACTTCCAATAAAGGACAACTACCAGTTATCATATGAAGAACTAGCTGAGGAGGCTCTTACAGTGCAGTGATAGTGTTCTGATATCTGGGCCAGAAGATCCAGACTGAAGTCTTGCCTGTCATGGAGGTATCATAAATTGATCGAACAAGTTCGTTCTTTTTTAAAAAAAAAAAGCTAGCTGTGGATTTTCAAATCTGTCATGAAGATTAAGAAATATACAAAAAATGAAATACTTTTATTTTGAACAGTTGTAAATTGTTACTTCCTCCAGATAACTCAGTTTACACAAATACATTTAAAATAATGTATAAATTATTTGTCTTTGAAATGCTTAAGAATAGTTGATTGGCTACAAACATCCATTAAAACATGATAAAGATTCAATCTCTTGTATTTTCCAAAATGTTTACTGTGAACAGTGGCACTATGCTCAAGTTGGTTTACTTATTTGCTCATAGTATGTGGGCATTGGCTAGGTCAGCTTTTATTGCACATTCCTGATTACCCTTGAGAAAGGTGGTGTGAGCCTGTTTAAATATACTTTAACCTATAATGATTTACTACTATCAAAATTTTACCCCTGCTTTCCCAACTATTTTGTTAGGCTTGAAATTCTTAGTTTTGTGGAAGACTTTGATTTTGTACAAGTAAGATTATTATTTAAAATGCCTGGAATAATACAACGACTTTCCACTGAAGACCCACTTGCAGTAGTAAGCTTTGAGTGAGGTATAACCACTAAAAGGTTAAGTACCTATTTTGCTCAACTGAAAGGCGAGTGAAAAACTGGAAATGTTTTGAGCAATAATTATTTTAATTACCTTGAGATAATGTTTGTAATGACACTGATGTTGCTGTACACAATTAGTGAAAATTACTAAAATTTAAATGTTCATTGTCTTATTCCTGCCATATTTTACCAGTGATTGTTCTCTGCTATATCTTGGTGGTAGTTGAGATTGCAGAAAGTAGTGAGGAAATTGTTGCAGTAAATTCACTGGATGAATCAGGCAAAAGGGGTTGGTGTATCATAGATTGAGGGACACTGTCATAATCTTAGTCTGGCAGGGTTATATAAACAGCCTCTGAGGGGACAAACACCAGTAATTGGACAAAGAAGGAACCAAAAAGCTTGCCATCTCTTAATGAATCAGGTTCTTTACTTACTGCCTAGTTATTGCTCATTACTAAGTGTACACTTAAAAATGACCAAATTCTACTTTATTGGTTATCAACAGCATTGAAGAGTTGCGAGGGCAATGGACTCATGAACAATGTCATACGGAAGGAAAGTAACTGTACTGAGCAAGAGCAGGCCTTTGGAACTGGGAGTCTAAACCTCAACCTTCAACTGAAGTTTAAAAATCTGACCAGTGTATAAATAGGAGTGAGGGATACATGACCATCAACTTACTGTAGGAGCAAGGTCTCTGCCACGTCCCTTGACTGAACACCATCTGGCCACTGACCACACTCCTAGCATAAATGCCTGGCTGGATTATTTAAATGAAGATAACCTTCTATGACCCTCTATTCCTCCATCCTTTGGTAAGATAAGAGGTCACAGGTAAGTTGGTTATAATACTTCAGCCAGGAGAGATGACCAACAGAACTGCAGACCTTGTGCATTGAGAAATTTATCTTTTATAAATTTCTTTCATTTATAGCAAGGCCAGCAGTTAGTGCCATTTGAAACAAGCTAAGTTGAAGTTGGCCATCAGTATATGAAACTTCACAAATCCAATGATCTGTATTAACGCCTCTTACTTTAGCTTGGTATTAATTATTGGCTGACAATGCCAATTGTGAAGGGCCTTGATGCCTTATTACAATACAACACAAAATCAAGCTAAGATAACAAGGTGTAGTGCTGGTGAACACAGCAGGCCGAGCAGTAAAGCTGACGTTTCGGGTCTGGACCCTTCTTCAGAAAAAGTACCCTTTTTTCTGAAGAATGGTCCAGACCCGAAACGTCAGCTTTCTTGCTCCTCTGATGCTGCTTGGCCTGCTGTGTTTATTCAGCTCTACACCTTGTTATCTCAGATTCTCCAGCATCGGCAGTTCACACTATCTCATAAAATCAAGCTATTAGTGCAGGTATGTGAACAGACACTGTTACACCAGTGATTCATTTTTCACAGCTCGGTCTTGTCCTTCATAAAATTGGATGTTTGTGTTTCTAATGTTTTGTCAGGTCAGCAAGATTCAAATATTTGCCATTTTAAAATATTAGTTTTATCACTTATTTCAGTCTTTTATGCACTATTTATTCCTACCTGGCCATCTGGCTGAAAGAAGTAAGCAATGAATTCTGCTAATTGTCCACTGACACCCTGTGCTCAGATATATTAACTAGTCTTATATGGGCCTAGTGAAGGTCTTTTTTAAAAATCCTAGATATGGCACACTTAGATAAAGCATTACCCTTGTGTACTCTTAAATCTTTATAGATAAAAATTTGAAGTTGGTCAAACAATTTTTTGGAAATCCATATTGGCAGCTACACTATTGGTTTTTTTTTTATTGTTGTAACAGCTGTTCAGTACTTAATGCTAAACTGACTAAATCATGTCCAGAGAACTGGATTACTATTTAATACCAGCTATCTGCCAAAAGGTGGAAGAGGAATTTTAAAATTAATGACCCTGATGTTGAGATTGTGACAACCCCAAAATTAAGGCATTTTGAAAACCTAAAAACTTCAATCTGAGTATAGGAGCTTTCTAATTTAATAGATTAGGCCAAGGGAAAACTTGCTGCTGGATGTGGCAATCTGAAATGAAACCAGTACCTCCCTCCAAAGTTTCACTCCTCTTTCCCCTCCCTCATTCATTGGCTGGCCATTTGTTCAATACCATACTTAATCCCTGTTTTGGTTGGCCTCAGCTAGCATTCTCAGTGACCACACCTGCTCACATGGATACTCGCTTAAAAAGTGCACCAATTTTTTTTAAAAATTGTGTAATGCCACAAAATCAGCTAGTATGACGAAAACATTTTTCATTTCTCTCCAACCAACTTATTCACAGAAACCAAACCTATTCTTTCAGATTTGTGCACAACAGTAACGGAAGAATGCAAATATTAAGATTGAAAGACAAAACCTCAGGTAGTCGACAAATAATTTACTGTGATTATTCTATTTCTTAATAGTTAAGAGAAAATCAGAACAAACCCGAGTGGTTCCCTGGTGCTAAACAATTCTTCCACGTTCATTCAAACTGATGTCAAGTCAGAGCCCCATATTTCTTTGCTAGTTCACTTGTAAAAGTTTAACCAATTTTTGAATGTTTTTTGCCTGGCACCATAAACAATCTGTTTTTTAAAAAAAACTGAAATTGCTTTTTTAAATCTAAATCAAGTATACCTAAAGTATGGATATCACTGTCACAGTACAGATAGAAGTTATTGCCTTTGACCTGGAGAATCTTGATTTAAATATTAATAAGGTGCAAATCTTTGAAAATGTTAAAGGGGTCTTTATGAGAAATATTGCAGAAATATCACTCTGCAAGGCTCCTGTTTTTGAAGACTCCGATACTCAAGACAGATCACTGAGAGTTAGTTCAGGTGCGTTGTCAGATAGCCCTCCTAAATCCACGCTAAGATCTTCATCAGAATAATTTGTTCTTGGTTCGTTCTCACATTCCTCGATGTGCAAGGCAGAATTGTACCCAACATCTATGTTAGAACAAAATATTTGAGTTAACCATCACTTGTTTATGCTAGAATGCTTTTTTGAAGGGACACTTTCCAAACTAGTGTTGGAACATCCCGCTTAATTACTTTCTAGCTCTGAGTTATTACTCTCCTTTTAGATTAAATGTTTAAATGTTTAAAAAGCAGCACTTATTCCTCTCTTTGCCATCCCCTGGATCCAACTTTTTTTTTGTAATTTCACCTAGTTCACAAAGTTATCAGAATCCTGTTTGTTATATGAAATGCAAACAGGTGTGAAACTATGAATCACTTGCTATTCAATTTCATTGGCCTCAGTGACAAGTAGTTTTTCACTTCATTTGTTTTCTTTCCATTTGTTGATTTTAATAATGAATCACACCAGAACATTCTGTAGGCATTGCTGGTGAGGCTGACATTTACTGCTAATTCCTAATTAGTCTGAACAAGGTTGTGCTGAGCCACTGAACTATTGTAGTCCATCTGGTGTAGATACAGCTACAGTGCTGAGGCGTTCCAGGATTCTTACCCAGCAATTTTGAAGAAATTATATACTTCAAGTCAGGATGGTATTGGATGGGCAAACTGCAGGCAATATTCTCATGCATCTTCCACCTTTTCTTGTTCTTGGTACTACAAAGTTTGGAAGATGCCGTATAAAAAAGCCTGAGCAAATTTACTGCAATGTGTGCTATCTATAACACTGCACCTCTAGTGGCAAGAGTGAATGTTTAATGTGGTGCTAATGCAACAGACTGTCGTCTTAGATTTTTAAAATTCATTCCTGGGATATGGGCGTCGCTGGCTAGACCAGCATTTATTGCAATTGCCCAGAAGGCACTTAAGAGTCAACCACGCTGTGGGTCTGGAGTCATATGTAGGCCAGACCAGGTAAGGATAGCAGACTTCCTTCCCTGAAAAACATTAGTGAACCAGATGGAGTTTTTCTTAACAATTGGCTAGTCATTCTTAATTCCAGATTTTTACTGAATTTAAATTATACCATCTGCCATGGTGGGATTCAAACCTGGGTCTCTGGATTGGCAGTCACGAGACCCTTGCCTCCCCTAAGGGAGGATGGTTGCAAGCTTATTGTGTTGCTGGACTTATCTTGTGAAGGGCAGAATAAGTGCATTTCATCACATTCCTGACATCGTGCCTATTAGCAGTTGGATAGGCTTTGGGGAGTCGGGAGGTGAATTATTTGTCACAAAGTTCCCAGACTCTGACTGGCTTTCATAGTCACCTTTTGTGACTGGGTCAGTTAGACGTTCTAGGTATTACTAGAAATTTATGCTGGGACATTCACTAAAGTCATTGAATATTCAAAGGTAGTTAGCCACAAGTACTGATCACTAAGATTTGAATTTTGCTCCTTGCAGAATTCAAAGCATCATTTTTCCCCACTGAATTTAGGCCACATACTGCACCACATGATCTTTAATATAGGAAGCAGCCGATGATTGCACTCATTATTCCTTGAATTATTCTGCCCCCCACTTTTTTTTTTAAATTATGTGTGAAAACACTGTCTGGTTTTATCTTTCAGCAAGGATAGTTGATTGGCTCAATTGACTCAGGATCCATACAGTGATCATCCATTCTTCTTCCTGCCCTTTCCTCACCTATGCTTCAGTGGCTTTTTCTCCTTCAACACAGCAGTTTCCAAATCTGCTCCTCATTTTCATGACCTTGTTCTTTCTGCCTTCCACAACCTCCCCTCAGACTGATTTTTTAATCATGCATATCTTATGAGCTCTTTCCAACTCTGACCACCCTTCAAAACTCTTTACACAACTTCTTTAGATGTCATAGCCATGCATTTTAGAATTCTTTCTCTGCCACCTGACTCTCTCCCTCCTTCAAAACATTCCTTAAAACAAACTTTTGGTCATGCCTTGGGTATCATCCCTCAAATCTTGTACAATTATTCAATTTCACTGCTGAAATATTTGGAATGTTTGATTTAGATTTGCATCAGAGTCTTCAAACATCTTAACTCAATCCAACTTCTATTCCTAAGTCACTTTGTGTACTATTTTCTTCACCTTTTAAAAATCTAGCTATTTTGACAAACTTTCAGACATCTCTCAATCCTCTCATGTGGCTCTGCCCTCGATCTTGTTTTTTAATTTTGCTTTCCTCCTCTGTAAAGCCTGCTGATGTTTCTATATTAAAAATATGTTGCTGCTTTCTTATTCTACTTAATTTTTATTCTTCTGTCTTTGAAAAAGACTCGTTACTGAAAATAAAATCCATGTATGAAAATTTGTCTTCATACTCCAGATCTGCCATGCATTCAGACATTTTGATAAAATCTAATAGCAATATTTGTTGGAAAGTTCCACAACTGAATTAAGCTGCTTCTCAGAATAACCTTTTTGGAATTGCTATTCCATACCTGAACGTCTTGTGCTAGGAAGTGGTGGCAGTGCTGGAAATGGAAGCAGATTCTGAACTAAAATACCAATTTAATTTTAAATAACTGAGGTGGCCAGTGCAGGCTTCAGTACACAGGCCTTTCTATATTTTCATATAACCTTTGAAAAGTTGAATTTAACAATGGGCAAATTCCTTTTGTGGCATAGCAGACCTTAAATGTAGCACTAATAAGTTTGTGTGAAGTTTTAATTTTGCACAATATCTTGCATGTGCTTTGTTGAAATGTGTACAATTCTGACTGTTAGCTGGATAACCCTGTCAACATTTCAAAACTTACTAAACTGCAGACGTTCCAGCTTCACATTAAAGCTTTATATTAGCTGACATTTAACTGTTCTCTTTCCTTAGGTTTTGACCCTTTTACTCTTCTTTCAAATCTGTAGTCATCAACCCTCACAAACACTGTAAACCTCATGTTTGCCAACTATTGTCCCTTTCTCAACATCCTTTCCTTGCTAAAAATAATGGACATGTTTTTGCCTCCTAAATTTGTACCATGAATCCTGTCAAATAACTTAGTCTCATTGCCTTTGTCACCCTATCCCTCTTGGGTTGCAGTCTGGTCAAGAAGAACTGACAGTTGATCACATCACCTTCTCCCAACACCTCTCTATCACTATTCAGCCAGGAAAGACTGCCCCAGGAACCAGGAGAAATCTATTTAATTGTAACCAGTGCATCACCATAAATGATTCCTTTTTTCTCATTTGCACTTAGCCAAGCCTGAATTTTCCTCAAGGATCTAATGTTTGAGACCCTATCTAAATTTTTATCTACATTTCAAGAAGGCAAGGGTCTAGTGGTATTATTGCTAAACTATTAATCCAGAATTAAGCTAAATTTTCTGGGGTAGAGACAAAACCTGCAGATGCTGGAATCCAAGGTAGACAGGAGACTGGAAGAACACAGCAGGCCAGGCAGCATCCAGAGGAAAGGAGCAGTCAATGTTTCCGATATTACCCTTCCTCAGGGTGGGGTGGTGGTGGGATAGTTGTGATAGGTACGACTAACTAGGTTGTACCTACCACCATTATGCATTCTTTCTATCCCCTGTTCCTCAAACAAAACATCGACTGCTCCTTTCCTCCAGATGCTGCCTGGCCTGCTGTGTTCTTCCAGACTCCCGTTTGTCTACCTAATTTTCTGGGGACCTGGGTTTGAATCCTGCCAGAGTAGCTGGTGGAATTTGAATTCAATTTTTAAAAAAGAAATCTGGAATTAAGAATCTACTGCTATGCTGCCTATGAAACAGTTGCTGATTGTGAGGGAAAACCCATCTGGTGACTAATCTCCTTCCGGTTAGGATCTCTGCCAGCCTTACCTGGTCAGGCCTATATGTGAATCCAAATCCACAAAATGTGTTTAACTGACTCAACTGTTGTCTGAAATGGCCTAGCAAGCCACTCAGTTGTACGAATTGTTACAAAGCCTCAACGAATCAGTGTGGGTTAATCCACAATATGTAAACTGCAGTGGTTCAAAAAGGCAGCTCACCACCAGCAATAAGTGCTAACTTGCTCCCACTTAATTGACATGTTGATTTTCAAATCCCATCACCGTATATCACCTCCAGTCTCTCACCCATCCACTAACTCTGGCCTCTGGAGCATCCACAGTTTTAATCACTTGATTTGTGGCCACTCCTTAAGATGTCCAAGTCTTAAGTTATAGAATTGTGTCCTTAAATTTCTGCTTCTCTACTATCATTTCCTCCAGCTCCCTGTTTTGGTCATCTTCCCAAAAATCTCATGCAGGTCACTGTTGGCTTGTTTGTATTAATTTATTTAACCTATTTTTCTAATCAACCCCTGTTCAGAGATGTTATTACACACTTTTGGAGCAGCTGGAACTTGAGGCAGGACATCTCGCTCCGGGATAAGAATATTACCACTACATCACAAGATTATGCTTCTGAAGTGTGTTTTGAGTATTTCATTACATTCAAGGCAGTATATAAATGCACAATGTTATCAGACACTGTTCAAAGTTACTCCCAGCTGCCCTGGTAAAAGTTTGGAACAAAACCAAATAGGAAGATGAATGTGGACATAAGTGCCATGATTATGGTACCCATGCACAGTGTTCTGTGGATGGGAGTTTCAGAAAAGCAAAGGAAATTTGCACAAAGGAAGATCAGAGAGGTACACTTTAAAAGGAGCACTGTGGAAGAGGGGTATTAATGTATGATATTCAAATATTTGGATATATCAAAAATATATTCCTAGTCAATCAAATTTTTTGAAATTGCAGGCACAGACTTGATAGACTTAAATAGCCTCCTTTATATTATTTTGTGATTTTTTTTGGAAGAAGAAAACATTAGTTTAATTTGCATATATTCTAAGATGGACAAATTCAAGCCCTGCAGATATAAATGGCAATTGGAGAACATAAATCTTTAAAGTGACACACAAAAAGTTGATAGAACTGAGCTTCTAGCAGCATCTGTGGTAAGAAATTGTGTTAACACTGAGTCCAGTGACTCTCATCAGCATTACAGCAGCTAGGACCTGCTGAATTTTGTCAGCAACTTGTTTTTGTTTCAGATCTCCAGCGTTCGCATCTCTTTATTTTACCAAAAGCAATGATTCGTTCATTCAGCTGAAAATGTAATTTCTTATTCCATTTCAAAAAGGAAAAAAAAAGTGCTCTACTTCATCTCTTAAGCATAGGGCAGGGGTTTCTCACTTTTGATATTTCCACAGTATTTGCTGGTATCTTTGTTTTCTCCTGTCTCCCCCTCAAACTGACAGAGCTATGGCTCATAAAATATTCTGTTCACTGCACTGAATTTACAGCACAAACATGCTGTACAATCTATACTGGTGTTTGTTTTTTGTTAAGCCCATCAGGGTATTCCTCCTTTCTCTCTCATTTGATTATCTAGTTTGTACTGAGGTGCACTTATACTTACTGGTCTCACCTGTTCCACATGATGAGTTTCCCATTCCTGTTCCACGGTGTAATTTAGCAATCCAAGTTCTCATCTCAGTGGATCCTTAAACTGTCTTGAAGGGCTCTTGTGCAATGGTAGTGTCCCTATCATTAACCCAGGACATCTGGGTTCAAGTCCCACCTGCTCCAGAGGTGTGATAACAACATCTCTGAACAGGTCGATTAGAAAAATAGGTCCAAGAACCTTCTAACCACTCCCCCTCACTTTGGTTTGCATTGCCCATTATGGGCTTTGTTTGTAAATACTCAATTGGTGACATGGATGTTTTTACTGATAGTGGAGAGTAGTTTTAAATTTTAAAAAACCAAAAATGTCTGCTTTTGCTGGTGGGAAGGTTGATCAAACACAAATGAGAACACTTCTAGGTAGATTTTTTAAAAATTCTAAGCACCCTCTGTGGGGACTGTTGATGTAGTAATAATGTCCCTGCCTCTCAGTCAGGAGGCCCAGGTTCAAGCCTTACTTGATCCAGAAAAAGCATAGAGGTAGTGACCCTACCCCTAGACACCTCTGAACAAGTTGAGGAAAATATAAAATGTAAACACCCTCTGAGTACCACCCTCAGTGGTAATATCACAATGGAGGTGGATAATAACATCTCTTAACAGGTTGACTAGAAAATATCTCTTAAGCACTAGCTGGTCCTGTTGCTGTAGTGTAATGGTTATTGCATTCACTTTACACAACCAAAGGGCCTGGCTCAGAACCAGACAAATATTTGTTTGGATTGCTTGTCAATGGAGAATGCATTCCTGATTTTAAGAGGCTGTTTTGGTGCAGTGTTAGTGTCCTTATCTGTAGCCTTGGAGACCTGGTTTCAAGTCCCACCTGCTTCAGAGGTGTGTAACAGCTGTCTCCCTCTGAAGAGGTTGACTAGACAATATCGTGGACAGCTCTTGTGCAGCAATGGTAGTGTACCTGCCTTTGACCCAGGAGGCCCCACTTCAAGTCTCATTTGCTCCAATAGTGTGAAATGACATCTCTGAACAAGTTGATTTAGGAAAAAAAAAATCTAAACACACTGAGGGCTCTATTGGCTCTGTAGTGATATCCCTATATCAAACCCAGGAGTCTGGGTTTGAATCCCACCTGCTCTAGAAGACAGTAGTCACACATCCGATCAGGTTATTTAAAAATATCTAAGTACTTTCTAGGTAAGGTTTCTCTTGAAATCCTGATTGTTTTTATTAGTTACTACATAGAATGAATTTCTGATCCTGTCCACAAGTAGAAATACTTTTCCCTCGAACTACCCTAACAAAACTTTTTGATGGTCTAAAAGACCCCCAATTGATTACTCCTCCACTTTTGCCCCAACCTTTGTGATGGGTACTGTATGCCCATTGAAGGCAATGTGACTGGAACTAAAAGCTGAGTTTAATGGTCTGCCATTACAGCAACTGCATTGATCAGCCAACGTTTTCAACAGAGTGATTTCCAGATTTTACCTTTTATACACAGAGGATCTAAATCAAGATCTTGCAACGATGAAAAGTCGTCATCTGAGCTGGTGTCTCCCAAACTCAGAGTGCAACTTAGAGTGGAGTCAGAATCTTCATTTAGTGACTGGGTCACAGATTGGTGGTTCTTTTGGTACTGTTTTCTTTCATCTGAAAAGAAGAGAATAGCAAGGTAATGATGTACCTTAATAAAATGAAAGTCAACTTGAGTACTTGAGAATATCTAAACTACTTCAGATTATTACTCAAAGCAAAGAAATGCTGCAAATCAACAAGAAAACAAATTCTGTCTGCTTGCATTTAACTAACTTTCCATAGTCTTATATAATTACACTCCGTTCAGGATCCAGGCCTGGAGGGTCCAGCGTGTCTTGCTGCAAGTTACTTTAGTGAAAGTATAGAACTGAAATAGTGGGTTTCTAAGGGAAAATCATCTTGGATTTAAATTATTTCCTTTACTTTGCAGACTTTACAAAAAGTAACCCAATTGTTTTGTTTCAGTGTACAAATGATGTCTGTTTTGGAAGATCCTTGAAGCTTCACTAATGGAGCCATCCAAAAGCCAGAGTGAAATTAATTTCCTCTAATCATTCAAAATTTCATTTAATCAAGAGAAAAGAGGAGCAAGCATGGCCCATGTGTCAAAGGCTGCAGATTGGTTGAAAAGGACAAGGGTGCACCACAAAGTGTTATGAATATCTGGTTTCATGATTAGTGTTTTGTAAAGTAACTTTCAGAAAATTGAAGTTGCAGTAATTACAGTTCCAAGGTTACTCTTTCTTTAATACTGTCTATGTTAGAAGTGACAGAAACAAACAAAAACAGAAGTGGATGACCCATCTGAGCTTTTGCTATGAGCAGGAAGTCTGCAGTAATTTCAATGAGATTTGAATTACTTGTGTAGTTCCCAGATCAAAGATGATAAAATCACCTTTGTATGAAGGGGTTTCCTACCTGAAGAAACAAGTCAGGCAAGAGTCATTTAACTCTATTACATATACATTATTCAGGTGGGTCACAATCAAAGGGTTGCATTGAAAGTAAAAGTAATTGATGACGAGCATTTTGATCTGGGACCATCCCATGTATGTCACATGGCTATGGAGATGGGCTGTACAAGGTAGGTACTTTGTTAATTTTTTTTTCAGCCTTGTTTTCTCAAAGGGAACGAGGAAGAGGGAGAGAGCTACAGCGACGGACAAATCTGCAAGGGCAGACTTGGAAGAAGCAACCTGTGTCTGCTTAATGCCAGAGTGCATAGGCCATTAGGAACTATGGGTGTTCATGATTTTTTTTAAATCCTTGAACACAACTGCACTGAGACCCCAACTTCAGATTAGAAATTCACAACTGTGAGGTGTTGAAGAAAAGATGGGAGGATCACTTAACCAAAAGCTAAGGATCCCTGTGAAATTTTGTATATGAGAATAATTGGAACTGAGGAGAAATCAAAGTGAATTCCAAAGAGCTATGGCATACTATTTTTTGTTTCAAAAGAAGTGAATGAGATTGAGGGTTCAATGTAGCAAAAACAGGAAGACAGACCATCTGAATGGTGATAGATCGGGAAAAAAGGAGGTATAACAAAAGCAGAATGTCCTTGTACACCAATTGCTGAAAGCAAGCATGCAGGTGCGACAGGCACGATGAAGACAAATGATATGTTGGCCTTCATAGCCAGGGTTTACAGGGACAAGGATGTATTGCTTCAATTGCACAGGGCTTTGGTGAGACCACACCTGGAATACTGCGTGCAGTTTGGTGTCTATTTGAGGAAGGTTATTCTGGCTACGAAAGGAGTGAAACAAAGATATACCAGACTATTTCCTCTCATATGAAGAGGGATTGGATCAGTTAGGACTATATTCATGAGTTTAAGATTGACAGGCGATCTTGTAGAAATGCATAAAATTCTAACATAAGCAGATAGAAGAAACATAGGGTTGTCCCCGATGACCAAGGATTCCAGAGATCACAGCCTAAGGATTGAGATACGTGGTGAGCCTGTGGAATTCTCTGCTACAGTTGACGGCAAAACATTACATGCTTTCAAGGAGTTAGATATAGCTTTTAGGACTAAATGGATCAAACGGATGTAAAGAAAGTGGGACCAGGGTGCTGAGTTAAATGATCAGCTATGATCATATTGAATGATGGAGCAGACTCAAAAAGGCTCATGCTCTTATTATTTATGTTTCTACAAGTCTTAGGTGAAAGTCTTGGCAAATTATTTAGTGCTCACTTTTTTTTCCTTCATGTATACTGCAAAGCTTTTGTTTTGTTCAAAAATATTGTTTTGTGACAATTTAGTTCATTTATTTTAGGTGTTTTGAATTTCTTCATGTATTACGTCGCTGAGCTTTATTACAACGGTCTGAAATTCGTGTAAGTGGATACAATTAAAGTCATATTAGTAATGGAGGCAAGTATAGAATAGTGATTGGCCTTGAGGTCCATATTTAAATCTTTCCAATGAGGATTTTAATATGACCACATGTTGAAGGATTTGGAGAAGAAAGGATATTTGAAGAGATAATTATATTCCAGGACACAGAGTTATTGACAGGACTAAAAATGAAAGAAGACAGTAATCGAGGGTTAATATGAACTTTTTGGAACAGTTACAATCAAGGGAGAGAGGGTGGTTGCAATGTTAACTCGGTATTTATGTACACACCTGGTTTTGATGGTGTACTGGTCCGGTTGTCAGCTAGATGGATGTTTCTCAGTTGTTCCTTCAAGCCAGCAACAGTAGATCTACAAAAAAATTTCACCTTGGAATTAACAATAAGTATTACTATAGCTGCAGTGAACTCTACTTGTTTAGATTTAACTCTTCAGTGACTGTCTTATAATAATTACAGATATTTTTATAAATGGAAGTGACTGCAATGAAAACTGTAATCTAATCTTGAAGTTTACGATAAATTTACTGGTGTTCCAGTAATGTTTGAGGTCATTCAGATCTCTGAATAAGACTACATGTTAGAAGGCCATACGGTTCAAGGGCTGCATTAGCTCCAGCCTACTCTGTAGCAAATCAAAACAGCTTTCTTCTTCATCACTTCCCATCATCTAGAAAGGTCAAGAAAAGACTGCACGTGTGAATGTTATCACCTCCAAATCACATACTATGCTGACTTGGATGTTTTCTTATCATTCCTTCATTGATGCTGGATCAAAATCCTAAAACTTCTTATGCAACAGCTTCAGCACATGATTTAAAAAAGGCAACTAACTTCCACCACGTTCTCGGTAACAAGGACTGCGCAATAAGTGAAACCTTACTACCAATACCTACAGGCAAGCATTGTTTTTCTTCTGAAATCCAATATAATTGTGCTATATAAATAAATTGCTTGATTTCACAATACACATATTGCTGTCACTTAGCCATTAGGATTATGGAATGTTTCTACCTCTAAAGTTGCATGTGAGATTTATTTTTAAGCCAGTGACCTATCATATGGAGGCTAGAATCTGATGAAGACTGCACAGAGACTATAGAAGAAACGGAGAATAAAATTTACACTTTTGAAGAAATGTGTATAAAGGCCTTGGCCGCTTATATCAAATCTATCGGCGATGAGCTAGCCATCAGCACAAAGTTTAGCAGTGCAACATTTACCAAAGCTTCAGCGCTTTATATTTGTCAATTTATACTATTTACTCACCTGAGGTGTGTAAGCTCTTGTTCTGCATACGCTCGTTCATGAACTGACTTGTTAGAATCCAAAAGGTGCAATTGATACTTACTCATCAATTCTCTCAGAATCTAATCAGAGAGGAAATAAAAAAAAAAGATATCTTTTACAACCTGAGGACACCCCAAGGTTATTCACAGCCAAAGGAACAGTATTAACTGCTATAAAATAGGAAATGCATCAGGCAGGTTGTACTGGCCAAAACACCAGAGGAACTCCCTGCTCTGAGTTACACCATAAGAACGCAAATATGCTAAGTTCGGCTTCACCCTTTTCTAAATGACAGTAACTGCAACAGTGTGGCATTCCCTCAGCAATGGAAACAAAAATTAGTTTCCATAAGTTTGGCAGAAAATGACAAGCACGCATCAGTTTGTTTGACCATTGTAATAAATATTCAGCACAATTCTACATTTTCTAAGAAATACTGAATGAAAACAATTAATTTAAACTTTCTTTTTCTATTACCTAAAGCAAAATGCTGAAAATCTGATTAAATACAAAAAATACTGGAAATAGGTGGTCAGGGTCCACCTATATAGAGCGAAGCAGGGTTATGGTTTCAGGTGGGTGAATTTGCTTGAGACCATTTGCCTGAAAATGCTAACTTCCCTGTTTTTCTGTTTGCAAATTTGCCTGAATTGCTGATATTGGCAGTATTTTCTGTTTATTTGTATTTATATACATTCTGCAGCAAGAACAAATTTCTGGAGAAACGCAGCAGGTCTGGCGGGTATCTCTGGGTAGGAAACAGAGTTAAAGTCCCTTCATCAGAAGTGCTGCAAACCTATTTACTTTGACCTTGACATAAGAATAAGGTGTTTGTCCCATTATATTTTTCATCTTTAATAAAAACCAATCCAACAACACATTATGAAACTCATTGCAGTTATAAAGTCAGTGCTAAAAAATGTGGTGGTTCTTTTGTGATTTTAAGCACCTCTTTTAGGGTGGGTGCTACCTAGCATTCTGAACCACTTACTTTCCAAGTGCAATATGGAACCAATTACTTCTAGAAGTTGGATTAGCTTAATCGGTGTCACTCAATAATTTGGACTAAAAAATAGATATGTTGAATTTGAAATAGCTTGATGGTAGAAATCAGGAGAGTTAACATCCTGGAGAATTGCCAATGCTCTAGCAAGGGCTGCAAAGAGAGGGACAAAGGATGCAGTGTCCAGGAGTGGGTGGGGGAAAAGAGAGTGAAGAGTTGCAAAGAAATGTGAAAAGGGCTTTCGGGAGAGGAGGGACACAAGGGAGGGGAAAGTTAGGCTGCCAAGGAAGTGGTTCTGAAAACAGAGGGAATGAGGCAATCTGAAAAGGGACAGTACAAGGATGTTTGAAATACTGGGAGAGGGGCTAGTACTAGTATTACCAAAAATAGAGTGCAAATCAAGACATTTCACACAAAACATTCCTAAAATCCAGTGATCTACCTTACTACTTTTCTCCTGTGATTGCTTAAGTTCCCTTGTATCAGAAATGTGATTCAGTAGTTCCTCCTCTTGTCTCCCTAATAAATACAGTGCAAATTCATTATAATTCACAATATTTATTAGATAATAAAGTCTGAACCAAGAATATGTAATAGTGTGTTCAACAATATGACATTTAAGAAAAAACAAAATCTAATTTTCTTTAAAAATACAGCTTACTATCACGTCATATCAAATGCGTGTGTCTGGAATACCAGAGAATGGCTGTACGTGATGAAATATTTTGTCTGTAAATGTCAAATTACAGATGACTGTAAAATAATATATGCGGCAGTATAATTGATTAACATCATTAGCCAGGACTCAAGTTTCTTAATGAGACCATATAAATTGTGTTATTGTCACTGAACTTGGTAAAATGAGACTGTGCAAAATCTTACAAAATAGAGGAAGTGGTCTGAACAATCTAAACTTAATGATCATAGCATCATAGTTCTTAGAATCCCTACAATGTGGAAACTGGCCCTCATAGCATCCCACCCAGACCCATCCCTCAATCCACCTAATCTACACATCCCCAAACACTACGGGCAATTTAGCATGGCCAATCCACCTAGCCTGCACATCTTTGGATTGTGGGAGGAAACCAGAGCACCTGAAGGAAACCCAGGTGGTCATGTTTGGAACATAATTTGCAGTTCTCTAATGCAAACAGCTACATCTTTCCTTGTAATTCTGTCTGCTCATACCAGGCACTTTTCAACGTTCTTCCATTTATAGCCTATACTATTGCATTTGTTGCTGACTGCTGCTAAATCTGGCTGGCTGATGTCAAGTATTACTATGCTGTCCATTTAACAGTCAAATCCTTCTAATATGCATACTGAAAGATAGTACATAAGCGAGGACACTTCAAGAAGTACTTTCTTAGCCATAAGGTGCTTTGGGATATAATCAGGTCATGAAATAATTAGGTCAAGGTAGGGGTGGAGGTTAGATAGACCTTAGGATTAGGGTAAAAGTTCGGCACAACATCGTGGGCCAAAGGGCCTGTACTGTGCTGTACTGTTCTATGTTCTATGAAAGATGCTATATTGATGCAAATTAATTCATTCTTCCTTTTATAATCACTTATTGAAAAATGCTTCCCCATACCCCTCTCAGCCTTTCCCATTCTTACCTCAAATGTTGTGCAAAAAGCTCATGGACTTTATATCCTTTAGGTGCCACCTTCCAATCTTGACTCATTCTTACAAGAACAACTGAATCTTTGCAGTTTCTCTACTATCTGCTCTAGCCCCACTGAATTTGTCTCTTCTTTCAAACCTAGTTGTTGCTTCCTTGATGCTTTCCTCACATCTTCCCTAGCATTAATGGTCACTGACAATTTTAATGGTATCTTTTGTTGTATACAGCCCAGTCTCATTCCATCCAATTTCAACAATTCCTCTTCAAAAAGCCACTTTTGATCCATGCTCCCTTTGTCAAACAACTGACAACTTCCCTTCTTGCCAAGGTAGTTCTAGATATTGTCATCTCTCGCTTCCAGAGTTAAACTCTTCAATAACTTCTTTTCAAATCCATTCAACCCATTGGACTGAGACCATAGGGGTCAAAATCATCAATATGCTTGGTAACTGTGACCTTGGTATATGATCTTCCTTGAGCTCTTTGCAACATTGCACATTCCCCTCAATATGCCAAGAAAGGTTCCACTGACATAATTGTGGGGAATGTAGTAAGGAATAATGCAGATTTTTAAATTATCCGATGTTTCATGGATTAGCAATGCAGATCAAACGTCTTGTCTCTCACAGGAATTCCTTGTCGTATATTAAGTTTGAAGAGGAGGGAAAGAGAAATATAAATTTTTTTAAAATACTTAAAATGTTGATGGCAAACAGATCCTTTCAACTTCTGTCTAAGGGAAAAAAATAAAACTGAAAATACAACTAACCTAGTCTACTGTCATCAAAACATGCACTTACATATTTTGTGCTTCAAATTATCAATCTCCCTTCGAAGTGAGTCATGTTCTTCACATAGATGTTTTTTGCTGTGAATGAAACATTTGATTAAGAAATGTTTTGAGTGGATTATTTGTGCATTACCACAGCAGTGAGTAATTACAACAAGCTTCTTGATTTTAGAATAGTTTTTCAAAATAATTCTAATTCAAGTGGACTAAGTGACAACACAAATTTTCATATAAATTTTCAGGCCTGCAATGAGAATAAAAACGCAGCTATGATTAGTTTCCTTAGATATAGATCAAAACCAGATTTCTCCAGTCCAATCAGTGTTAATGAAATAAAACTGAAGATCCTGTTAAAAAGAAAGTTTGGCTTTTTTGGCCCATTATATCAGCTTCATTGTTCTATCAATGTCTATAAATAAAAGCATGAAATCTAAACAAAAAAAACTTTATTACAGGAGCACAAGGCCTAAAAGCAATGAAGATTACTTTAATTAGTTCCTACCTTTGCTGCACTTCTTGCATCAGACTAGAAACTGTGATTTTTCCATGACTAAATCTCCCATCCACATGTTGTACTTGCTCTCGTAAGCTGTAAATTTCATTTGACATCTCCTGCCGCCACTCTTCCATTTTCCTCTCCAACTGGAAATCCAAACATCTTTCTTCAGATTTACTCTGTAATCGTCGAATGTCCTCTATGTTAGAGAGGAAATTGATAAACAGAATTCAGAGTGTGTTTTTAGTAAAATCTTAAGATCAAAAGTAAAAGGTTTTTAAAAGCTTTACCTTCTAATGATCGAATTTTTTGCTTTTGCTGTACCTTTTCTGTTTCAACTCTCAATAAAGCTTGTTGTAAAAATTCAATTGTCTAAAAACACAGAAATATATTGATCACCACAAATGAAAGTATGTAAATACAGCAGAAGAGACCACTTTGGAAAAAAAAATCATGTTGTTTTGATCTATTTTGTCGTAAACATAATACTGGCTAGTATCCAGTCTGGATGATTTGCTTAAAAGATGTCAAATGCAAATTCCATCTGAATCATTGAAACAGTGCAGCAGAATATAGGAGAGGGCTGGCAAATAAGAAGAAACTAATTACACCAGACGTCAGCCTGTTCTAGCTGGTGATATCTGGCCTCCATGCATTCCAACTAGGCAATGGATTGAGTATGAGGATGGGATAAAAACATAAGTGCAGGAAAAGACCACCCAGCCCACTGAAACCTTTTCTTTTGCCTTTCAACAAAGTGATAGCTAATCCAATTATGCCCTTAGCTCCACTGTCCCTTACAACTTTTGACACCCTTGTCAATCAAAAATCTATAACACAGACATTAACATATTCAATGACCCAGTCTCCATTACTATCCAGGGAAGAGTATTCCACCGACTCAAGATCCTCTGAGCAAAGAAATTCCTTCTCTTCTCCACCTTAAACAGAAATCTTATATTTTCAAATTGTATCCTCTGGTTCTAGATTCCCTTGCAAGAGGGAGTATCTTCTCAGCATCTATCCTGTCAAGCCCCCTCAGAATCTTGTATGTTTCGAGACTATCACCTCTTGATCTACTACATCCGAACAGGTTAAGGCTAAACCCGCTCAACTTATTCTTATGGAATCCTTTTATTCCGGGTATTAGCCCAGTGACCTATCCTGGAACTGGCTGCAGGTTACGAAACTTATTTAAAAGGCTCACCAAGTGCAGTGGAACTGTGTCCCAATTATAATTCAAAATGCAAGGCTTTCTCACCCTCACCCCTACATAAAATTTGGCTGAGAGCTCAGAAGTCCACTAAGACTGTTCAAAGAGCTGAACCCCAGGGAAAGCATTACACAATTGACAGACCTGTTCCTCTAATCTATTCCAATTGTGTAGTGCTTATTTACACAAGATGGTTTCAGGTACTTGCAATTCTGAAAGGGTTTGAATGCTTGACGTCTATTTACTTTGTACAAAATAAAAGCAATCCCCTTCCTTTCTTTTTAAAGAAGTGTTTTTTAAATTTTATTTTTATTAGGAAATAGAAAACAGGAGCGAGAGTAACCATCCCAGCCCATCAGGTCTGCTCTACCATTCAACGTGATCATGGCAGATTCTCAAGCTCTACACCACTCTCCCGCACACTATTTCTTTCTTAAACACATTCAGTGATTTGGTCTCCACAGCGACAAATTTATCACCCTCAAGTGAAGAAATCTCTGCATCTCAGTCTGAAATAGTCTGCGCTGCTCTGAGATCATGATTCGTTATTCTATAACTTGAACCAAGGGAATCATCGTACTTGCAGCCAATCCGTCCAACCCTGTTGGAATTTTATATAATTCAATCAGATCCTCTCTCATTTTTGACTCCAGCGAATACAGGCTCAATTAACCCAATCTTTTCTCACGTGACAAATCTGCCATCACAGGAATCAGCCTGATCATTGCGCTCATACATGTCCAGTTCATCTTTGCTCAGGCAAGCAGACCAAAATTGTACACAATACTCAAGTTATGGTCTTAAAGCCCAATAGAACTGTTGGGTAGACATCCTTACTCCCTGTACTCAAACTCTGCTGTATTGAATGCCAACATATTAATGGTTCTTGTGGTGTAGTGGCGAGCCAGAAGCCAGCGTTCAAATCCTACCTGTTCCAGAGGTGTTTCATAACATGTCTGAACAGGTTCATTAAAAACATCCACAATTTGCCTTCCTAACTTCTCGCAGCAGCATGCTTGCTTTTAGTGATGGTTGTAGAAAGACACCCACGTCCCTGTGTATATCAACATTTTCCAATCTATCACCATTTAAGTAATACTTCCTGTTTCTAGTCTAACTATAGGGTTCTTGTCAACTAAATGGTGTAAATTTTTTATTTCTTTTAAGGGATGTAAACGAGTCAGGAGCAACATTTATTGACCATATCTGGTAAACCACCCGCATGAATTGTTTCAGTTCATGTGGTATAATGCTGTCGGAAAGGGAGGAAGTTCCAAGAATTTGACCCTGTGACAGAATGAACAGTGATATACTTCTGAGCCAGGATGGTGTATGGCTTGGAGGGCAACTTGTGGGTGGTAGCACCCCATGCATCTGCTGTCCTTGTATGTGGTTGCAGTCATGGGTTTGGAATGTATAGTGAATGAACGGACTTGGACGTGTCATTGCTTGGCACGGGGGCAGGCAATGAGATACTATGGGACTTGGTGGTGCCAAAACTTGGCCTGAGAGATATGAATAACTAACTGGGAAAGGGGAAAGAGCCATAGTTTGTCACGGAGATACAGAGGGAATTTGCAACGCATAGTCTGGCAGTGGGGACATGAGAGGCCACAAAGAGGTGGGCAAATGCCATAGCTTGCTAAGGGGATTGAAAGGCCATGGGAAGGTGAGTGGGGAAGCATTGTCTGGTAATATGGGGCATGAGGATGACCTTTTGAACCTGCCTGACAAACCTGAGATGCCGTGGATCATGACTCTTTAAAAAGCTGGCCTGGCTCCAGAAAATTGAAGATGAGTAGGTCATGCCTATCCCCGCAATGTTTGAAGTACAGCATGATGGTTTGTGATCTCAACCAGCCTTCACCCTTAAACAACAAATCTGAAAACTGGAAATCCTGAAATAGGGTCAGGAATGTTGTCACGTTCACCATTTTTAAAGGATTTCCAAGTTATCACAGTTCAGCAAAATATTTTTAGACTCCAGACAGAGAAAATCATAGACTACATAAAATATGTAATTTCATTTACTTTTTCACACTTACTTTTCCTTGGGATTGGAGCTGTCTGTAGATACCCATTAATTCTTCTTTAGGTAATTTATAGCTTAACATATCTGAATAGGAAGAGGGTTCCATTGTAACTGATATAGGATCACTGAACCGAACATGTTCCATTTTATCAAGTGAGCCAACTACAAGAAAGCAAAAGAAATTTAAAATACAACTAAGCAGCTGAGAGACCTGCATATTTTGGTGATCACACCAAATAAATAATTTTTTTCAGGTATTATGTGCTAATTTTTCCCAGATGGCATAATGTAACTTTCTCTGCAGAATGGGAGAGAAAAATTCTTCTTGTCAGCACATGTATGCTTTGTTCTGTGCAGGCAATGCTCATGAGAAATTCAAAGTCTTGATTTATAATGATACAGCATAGAATGGGGAAAAATTATGAGTGTGATTGAAAAGGGTATTCTCATTTTAATTTAAATCACAAATAAACATTCAGCTATTACATTAAAGATGTACCTTTTGCATAATAACCTGCTGTGTTCAATCTTTTCTGTAAAGAAAAAGAGAAAAAGTATTTACATTAATTTTCAGTATTATTTAATAACAGTAATATCATTTCAAATAGCATATGCTTGGATTTTTCAGCCAGCAGTCAAAGGAGCAGTGCTTGCTGTTCTTTAAGATTGCAGCTGCCCAGAGATTACACATGGAGTTTTGATTGACAACTTATGGTATGATTTGGAGCGTGATATAACACAGTATCTCAATAGGGTTCTAGAACCTGTGTGAACACAGAAAGCAAAGTGGGCCTCTTCACCCAATTAGACTCAAGGATTTTTACTGAGGCACACAAAATCTGAAACAGGAAACATTTGTTTGAATATTCAATTCAAAGTACAAAAAGTGAAATGAAAAAACAAAAAAAGCAGATACAAAGAAAGGAGAAAACACGTCCGTGTTGTTACACTTCCAAAGATAATTAACTATTTTTAATTTTTACAAAACAAGTCTCCTCACTTGCAAAAGTACGTTTTCACTGTCAAAGGCAGCACTTGGCTATAGTTAAAACATACCAAATTAATAAAAAAAATTACTTTATACTTGAATGGACACACCCTTTTTTCTGATGTATTTGGTCAGTATCTAGTAGGCAAGTACAGTAACCTGACATACAGAAACAAGGCTTGTTCCACGTGTTAGAACGGAGGGGAGTCGAGATTTTCAAAAGATGGTACCTGAATAAAGGAATTTATACATTGCGCATGATAATAGAAAAGGTAGTCATCGAGATGAATATATTCTTGTTCACAAAGTAATACAGCATAGAAACAGACTCTTCTATCAAACTAGTTCATGCTGACCATGTACCCAAACTAAACTGGACCCCACTTGCCTGTGTTTGGCCCATATCCCTCCGAACCTTTCCTACTTATCCAAAAGCCCCAGTCTATCTAGCCTATTTTTATAACTCAAACCGTTGCGAAGTTGGATAGAGTACTTGTGGATTGGGAGGCAGAAAGTTAGAATTTGGTGCTTGTAAAATGCTAGGGGGCGGGGGAAAGCATTGTGTGGTCCCTTTAAAAGATGATATGTTTTTTTCTATGCTTAGAGATTTAAAAAGAATAAATATCTGTGAGCAACAGCTTGACAGTTTGCAAGTACACAGAGAGCACTTGAATTGAAACATCTGTATCAAAAGGCCACACAGTTAGCAGGCCAAGCAGCAGTTTTGAAACCAAGGAAACAAGGTTTTGAATTTAGCCAATCAATCAATTTGAACCAGGCACTCAGATACCAAAAACCAATTAAATTTAAATCTGATGGTTTTGGCAACCTAGGACCAATCCTATTGTAAGAAAAACTGATATGTTATTAAGGGTATAAAATATGGAGGTAGTTGGACAAAACCCCAGAGAGCTAACTGCCATCTGCCAGAGTTAATGTCCCTCAGCTCGCAAGAGATAATCACTGGCTCTCAGTCTCCCCCAAGTCTTACAGAAAGCACCATCCAAAGAACAAAGGTACCCATGCACAACTAATGAATATTCCTGACAGAAGAACTGACGGAGAAGACACGTAACCTGGCCATAATTTCAAGAGACAAAATTCTATTCTTATTTTATACAAATGGGACTTGTATGTATTCGAACAGCATACCATTAGAATCTTGTTTTATTTGGGAATAGTTAGTGGTTATAAGGGTTTGTTAATAGTTTAGTTAATTTGTTCACTGGGTAGAGTTACATAAATAAATTGTTACTTATTGATTTTAAACTGAGTGCCAGGGAATTATTTTATTTAAGCACTAGAAGTATCTGAAAGGCAGGTTACACCATTTTTCACACTCCTTTTACAGATTATAAGGCAAGGTGCTTCTCTTTGGGTGTTTTGGTTTTAGTTCTCAGAGGACTGGTGGCAAGGGGGAGGGACAACCTCCATTTTATGACAAAATCTTCCATTCCTGGCAACATCCTACACGAAGATATTTTCACTTTTGTTACTGGGCAGAGAATGGTCAGTGATGGATCGGCTGTCTGTTTTACATTTTGTCCAGTTATAGTTTCCATTGTCATTTGATCCAGTGTCATGAAGCCGGCTGGAGTTGTACCTATCATTTTCCAACCCCTTTCAGTTCTGAAAAAGAGCCATACTGGACTCGAAATGTTAACTTCTTTTCTTTCTCTACAGATACTGCCAGACGCATTGGAGTTTCTCCAGAATTCTCTATTTTTGTTTCAGATTTCCTGCATCCACACAACTTTGCCTGTATTCATGCATATAAATACCACAGCTGCAAAAGCAGGGAATTCTGCAGCGGTCAATGCATCTCCCCAAAGCATATCCACTTTCTATTGTTTAGATGTGTGCAGCTGGAACAACACTTAAGAATCTCAACAGTATCTAAATCAAAGCAGTTTGTTTGACTGACATTCCATTTATCCCTACTACACATTGAAGCAATGAGGTGTGCCATCTACAAGATGCTCTGCAACAACCTACTACAACATTCTTGACAGTACCTTACAAACTAATGATCTCTACCATATAGAAGGACAACGCCCTTCCAAATCATACTCCATTTTGACTCATAACAGTTTCTTACACTAATGCTGGGTCAAAATCCTGAAATCCATTTCTAACAGCACTATTAGTGAAACCCATACGAAGAAGGAACAATGGTTCAGAAGACTGCCATCTTCTCAGGGGCAATTAATGTTACCAGTGATGCTCACATCACAAGCATGGATTTTTTTTTTTTTTTTTTTTTTTAAAAAAGAAGTGTCAATTTATCTCAAAGAATGATCAATACCTGCAATGTACTTCATACTGGAGTGGTGGAGACAAAAGTACTGAGCCTATTTAATAAATAGGTGCCACACAGGGGACCGTCAGCTTTTTCAAACTAATTAATTGGAATAGGTTGAACACTATTCTTCCTGAAATGTATTTATTTTAATCTTGTATTCGCTCATCCCTGGATCTATTCTAGTGACTCCATATTGGAGATTTGCACTAGTCAATATCACATCTATAATGCCGCATCAAAAATTGTAGACGTAATTTAAGCTGTAAATTCTCAATCAAACAGTGACAAGCATAAGTATACACAATTAATGACAGAGAAAAGTCACAAACTAGTGTGTAACTGTTTACTACGCAAGCACTTATATGAATCCAAAATTTAGCTTGTATTTTGTTTCAAAGTGGCCTGGAAAGAGCTTTGAACTTGGACTACATTTTGAGAGATTTTCTGCAACACAGTCTAAAAGATCATCGCATTCATCGTTACAGTTGAAAAGTATAAACTAAAAGGAAGAAAAGCACATTCAATACAACAGCATAACACACTTACCTTAATTTTTGCAACATTGCAGTCAGTATCATTCAATATGGAATTTAGCTGAGTGTCCCAGTTCATGTTCTGTTACAGGAATGTAAACACAGCTTACGTCAACAAGTACTTCAAATACATGACCAGGCAAGCTTGAAAATCAACAAAGCTTCACTTTTTATTAAGTTGCTATTGTTGTAAATGGTAAAAGAATATAGTGAGTTTTCCATGGGTTTTGAAACAAAAACATTAATTTTGTTTGTTTTTAAAATGGAACTGCACAAATATATAAATATTTGCCAAAATAATAATTTGCTTATATTAGTATAGAAACATAATCCGATAAGAATGCACATTAGCCAAAGAAGGAAACATTAGGAAGGATGATTGAAAACTGTGTCAAAGAAGTGGTTCTTAAGGAGCATCTTAAAGAAGGAAATGGAAACACAGAAAGGGAGGGAATACCAGACAGACTAGATTCTTGCCAGCATATTCAACATTATGGAGTGAAATGAATGACGAATGTGTACTCAAGCAGAGTTGAAAGAATTACAGGGCTGGAGAAGATCACAAAGAAAAGGTCGGTCAACTAAATAAAGGGGTTCAAAGAAAAGGAAATTTAAATTTCATGCTTTGGAGACAGTCAGAGGCCAATACAGGTCAGAGATGAGAAGCATTATGTGTGAGGTTACATAGGTGGAAGTAGCAAAAACTCAGCTCTGGATCAAAAACAATGTTGAACTTGGATATCCTGGTTCAACCCAAAATTCCACCCAATACATTTCAGCAGCCAGGATGAGATATGGAATCAATGACAAGGGCGTATAGAACTGGTGATGGAGCCAATGACAATTGCTCCCCTCTGACCAATGCACAGGACATTGTGGCTCATCCAATACCAATTGTCGGATAAACAGTTGAAGAACAGACACTTGGTTTGCTACCATTTAAATCTCTCTTTAAAATATAAAATGTGGAGGTTTGTTTAGGTTGGATACTGGACACCTATTTGTTTTGTGACAAAACTGCCACGTTTAGACCTTAAGAAACAGGAACAGATGGAGGACGTTCAGCCCCTCGAGCTAGCTCGACCATTCAATAGGATAATGACTGATCCAATATTCCTCATGTCCTGTTTTCTGCCCTTTCCCCGTAAACCTTGATTCCCCTACTGATCTCTCTCTCCCAGCCTTAAATATACACAAGGACTCTGCCCCACAGCTCTCTGTGGCAAGGAGATCGAAAGACTCACAACCATCAGAGAGGGAATTCCGCTTCACCTTAGTTTTAAAATGATGCCTCACTATTCTGAGACTATGCCCCTCTAGGGGGAAACATCTTCAGTATTTACCCTGTCAAGCCCTTTAAAAATCCTGTATGTTTCAATGGGGCAGCACAGTGGCTCAATGGTTAGCGCTGCTGCTTCACAATGCCAGGGACAGGATTCGATTCCAGCCTTGGGCGACTGTGTGGAGTTTGCATATTTTCCCATGCCTGTGTGGGTTTCCTCCGGGTGCTCTGGTTTTCTCCCACAATCCAAAGATGTATGATTAGGTGGATTGGCTGTGCTAAATTGCCCATAGTGTCCAGGGATGTGCAGACTAGGTTGATTAGCCATGGGAAATGCAGGGTGAGAGGGTGGGGAATGGTGCTGAGTGGGATGCACCTCAGAAGGTTGGTGCGGACTGAATGGGCTGAATGGACTGCTTCCACACCACATGATTCTACATAACCTCTCATTCTAAACTCCAGTGAGTAGAGTTCCATCTGTTTTAGCCTTTGCTCACAAGACAATCTATCCATACCAAGGATCATCCTAACAAACCATGTCTGAATTGCCTTCAATGAAATTATATCTTAACTTCATTAAAGGGACCAAAACAGCTCACAGACCAGATGTAGTCTCCCTAGCACCTTGTAAGTTGCAGTAAGACTTCCCTACTCTTATTCTCCAACCCCCTTGATAAAAGGACCAACATTCTAATAGCCATCCTGATTATTTGCTGCAGCTGTTGAGCTGGCTTTATGTACTTTGTGCACAAGTACCCCCGAGACCATTTGGATTGCAGCTTTCTGCAGGTTTTCTCCATTTAAATATTATTCTGTTCTTTTCTCTCTCTTCCAAACTGAACAGCTTCACATCTTCCCACATTATACTCCATTTGACAACTTTCTGCCCACTTAACCAATCGATATCTCTCTGTAAACTGTATCCCTCTCACCAAACAGCTACATACTTATTTTTTGTGTCATATGCAAAACTGGCGACACGACATTCACTTCCTTCCTCCAACTCATTAATATATTCTAGAAACAGTTACTGTCTCAGCACTGACCCCACTGGTCACAGGTAGCCCACCTGAAAAAGAACCCCTATCCCCACTGGTTGTTTCCTGCGCATGAGCTAATTCTCTATCCAGCCCAATATACTGCCTCCAACATTGTGGGCTCTTATCTGATGACTTAATCTTTTGCCGAATGCCTTCTGAAAGTCCAAATACAAAACATGTACTGGTTACCCTCTATTTGCTCTAGCTGAGACTTTCTCAAAACTCTAATAAATTAGTCAGACAGTATTTCCTTTTAGGCCATGCTAACTCTGCCTGATTAGATTATGGTTTCCCAAAAGTTCTGCCATTTTTCCTTTATAATTGTTTCCAACACTTTTCCAACAATAGATCATAAGCTAATCGGCCTATACTTCCTGCTTTTTGCCTCCCCTGCTTTTTGACCTGGCATGTCACATTAGCAGTTTTCAAATCCTCCTGCATTTCTCTAGAATCTAACAATGTTTGAAAAAAGAAAGAACCAATGCATCCATGAACTCTGTAGCTACTTCTTTTGGGATCCTAAGATGCAAGCCATCAGGGTCAAAGGATATATCTGTCTTTAACCCTATTAGTTTGTCTAAAACTATTTCTTTAGTGATGGTGAGGGTACTTAATTCCTCCCCATATTCTTTAGTTCTAATGGAATGTTTGAAGTACCTTCCACCGTAAAGACAGATACATAATATCTGTTTAACTCCGTTGCCATTTCCTTGCTCCCTAAAACCGTCTCCCCAGATTCATTTTCTAAGGGGCCTATGTTCATTTGACTTCTCTCTTCCTTTTCATATATTTAAAGCTCTTAAACACAGTTTTTATATTCCTTGCTAGTTTGCCCTTGTAGTTTATTTTCTTTGTCTTTACCATCTTTTTGGTCCTTGTTTGCTGGATTCTGAATTTATCTCAGTCTTCAGTCTGATTAGTAGAAACTAGTTACGTTTCCCAGTTACATGAACAATTTAATCATTAACTGGATAAATTATAACTTCCAAAAATACTATCAATTCTAATCCTGTCAAAATGCTATAGGATTTCAAATTGCAACTGAGACCTAACCTTCTTCAGTGGAATGAAAAGTCTTAAAATTTAGCAGTTGCTTCCTCTTCCTTCCCTGACCAAACATTCATGGCAAACAAACTACGTACAGCCATTGCAATGTAAGTTATATACTCACTGCCAAGTCTTCAACTTTGTCTGGATTTGCTCTGAAACAGCCTGTGAAACCTCCAATACATGCTGTGGACACTTTCAGATGCAATTACTTTAGTGGTATCTTTGATGGCCTTAAGTCATCCAGTTTCTAACCTACCAATTTATTTAAAATGCATCCACCCACATTCTGCCTCAGCCAACAGCTCTACCTTGTTTACTTACACACGCCCCTTGCACCACTGGCCATTCAATTTAAATGGCTTTGCTTCTGTTACTGCCACAGAATTACCTAAGTGTTATGGCACCAAAGGACACCATCTGGCCCATTGTTTTTGTACCCAGTCGTTAAATGAATATCATTACCCAAGGCTTAATCTGCTGTTTTTCCCCCATACCCTTGTATAAAAAATAATATGCAAAGAATCATCCAATGCCTTCTTGAATGTCTCAGTTGAACCTGCCTACACCACATTTCCAGGCAGTACATTCCATGCCCTAATTACTCAGAGTGAAAAATACTTTTCCTCACTTCAGCCTTGCTTCATTTGAAGAATACTTTAACTCTATGCTCTCTTGCTCCTTTCACAAGTGAGAACAGTTTCTTCCATTCCACTCTATCCAGCCCATTCATGATTTTGAAAACCTTGATCATATCCATTCTTAGGCTTCTTCACTCCATGGAGAATAGTCCCAACTTTTTCCAATCTATCCTCGTAATTGAAGTTCTTCATCCCTGGAACCATTCTTGAAAACCATTTTGCACTCTTTCCAGTGTGTACACATCCATGTTGTAATGCAGCACCCACAACTGATCACAATAATCCACCTAAGGTCTACCAAGTGTCTTACACAAGTTTAACATCACTTCCTTGCTCTTGTACTCTATGCCCCTATTAACGAAGCTGAGGATACCATATGCTTTACTTACTGCTCTACCTGTCCTGCCACTTTCAATGATCTGTGCACATATACACCCAGATCCCCTTGGTCCTGCAACCTTCCCCCCGACCCCCCAGAACCGTACTCCGTTTTGTACTATCCAACGCATCATCCTCCGACACTTCCGCTATCTGCAATCCGACCCCACCACCAAAGACATTTTTCCCTCCCCACCCTTATCTGCTTTCTGGAGGGACCACTCTCTCCAGGACTCTCTTGTCCACTCCACACTCCCCTCCAGCCCCACCACACCTGGCACTTTTCCCTGCAACCGCAGGAAGTGCTACACCTGCCCCTACACCTCCCCCCTCACCCCCATCCCAGGCCCCAAGAAGACTTTCCACATCAAGCAGATGTTCACCTACACATCTGCTAATGTGGTATACTGCATCCGCTGTTCCCGTTGTGGCCTCCTCTACAGGGGAAACCAAGTGGAGGCTTAGGGACCGCTTTGCAGAACACCTACGCTTGGTTCGCAATAAACAACTACACCTCCAAGTCGCGAACCATTTCAACTCCCCCTCCCATTCTTCAGATGACACGTCCATCCTGGGCCTCCTGCAGTGCCACAATGATGCTATTCGAAGGTTGCAGGAACAGCAACTCATATTCCGCTTGGGAACCCTGCAGCCCAATGGTATCAATGTGGACTTCACAAGCTTCAAAATCTCCCCTCCCCCTACCGCATCCCAAAACCAGCCCAGCTTGTCCCCGCCTCACTAACCTGTCCTTCC